TCCTGCCTGTTGGCGTCAGCTGATAGAGGTGTTATCATTCTATCTTGTTATGCAGCATGTTGATGATGCTCTCTGAACTAGCTAAATACATGGGTCTGGGGTAGAGTTCTTCAGAATTGACGTGGCAACTCTACCGTGAAGTCAGAACCTCTGACTCTTGGACTTGTGATGTGAATCCTCCGGCCGTTAACTCCAAATAAACCATCATGTGTTTGACATCAAAGCTACTGCTCTTCCCGTGTCTCCTTCCTGAGTCGGTGACTCCCACTGCATAGCTACACAGAAGTTTCCTCTACAAACATGTTTCAATTTTTGTATTCAAACAGTTGGGGGGCTGAACCCTTGCCCAGAAGTAGTTTGATGATTGTTAGATTTCAAGATGTAGGCCCCATAGGTATATAGGTAAACCAACAGTCCCCACTTTCATGTTTGCGTTGTTAGTAACAATTACAAACCCATGAAGGTGTTTTTGTTATTGTGGGATACTCAAATAAAATGAACTAGACGTGAACATAGAAAACAGTAATAGTTACATGCACAACATTTCCATAACAAGGAAACATTTTCTTTTTCTTAGTGGAAATATATCAATGATCACTAATGTTGCCATATTATTTTCTATATTCTCTGTTTACAGTAACATTTTAAATCACATTTGTGTTTATTTAATTTAATTTAAATTCATTGTAGTTTTAATACCATTAATTAAATGAAATGGACTAAAACTACAGTACCTATCAAATCTTTATCTATGTAAAAATAGTTTTATCAATTGGCCATCTTATAACATTTGCACTCAAACCTTGCACCGTACGTTTTGCCATACTGATGTATAAATCCACTCATATACTCTGCATGTAACACAGCGAGGTGATTAAGTGTGGAATTTCCACCACAATCGCCACTGTGGAAATATAACGACTTATCACAACAACTTCTTCAACCAAAAATAGCTATTGATTAGCTAATTATTTTTATTTTGAAACCATCCCAGAGTGAATTCATGGAAATAATTGTGTTGAAATGCCAAAATAAAATGGCTTAATAGGTGATTAAGAGGCACTTGCAGCGCAGTTAATTCACCTAAAGATATCGGAAGGGCTTTATCAAAAAATAACAAATCGGGGAAATTAAAACACTTTAAGCTATAGCTATACAATAATATGAGAACAGTGAGGTGACTCATTCTTTTGTTTGTTGGTTTTATTGTGTGGGCTTCTTATGTTTGCCTTTTCGATGAAGTTAGATGCACCAGAGAGTGTGAAATGTTGCTTTGAATGTGTTCTACTGTCTCTCTGTGTTAGCCCACTGACAGTGGAAACTTTCCAGGCTACTTTCCTTCTCCTCTGACTTAATTCATGCTGTGATAGGATCCAGCTCATCATGACCCTGGAGAAGATTACATTGGTGGAGAAATGTCTAAAAATAGTGAAAGATTTAACAGTTCCACTTCTCCTTCTCTATTTGACTGCAGCCCACAGCAGCAGTGGAGTTTTGACAGAATAATTTATCCATGTTGACCAAAGTGGGCGTTCAAACAGACAGCAATGAGTAGCGGGTTAATGTTAAAGCATGATGCTATATTGGATGGAGTGAGGAAGCAGACATTTACCCAAGCAAACATCCTCTCATTTCACTTCAGCTTTAATATCCTCTCCCGGTCTTGATTCTGCGGCACATTTTTCCAAACAGCATAATATGTTGTGCCTGCAAAGATCAAAAACAGTATTAATCTCTGTATTAATTACAAAAGTGTAGCTCATTCATCACCACATGTGCTTCCACTGACCGTAACATGACAGCATTCAGGTTTATGAAGTTCACACACAGAGCTTTTGTCCATGATGCAATGATTCCAACACGTTTCAGAAAGCCAAAACGTATTAAAAACTGAGGCAGTGAGAGGTTTACTTATGTTATATTGTGTGTTTTCAATACCAACATTGTAGCTTTTGTAATGCTGTATTTTGAGTGAGATTTAACCAAAGTCTATTGAATCAAAGATAGAGCCATGTGAAGTATTCTTGTTGAGTAAATACCAGCAGATCTTCTAAATTAAATCGTTTCTTTGAAGATAATTCGATGGTTTGACGCTGCAAACAAAGTCAACTTCTATAAGTTACTCTGACTCTGCTTCCAACTCACTCTCTTGGAAAATGACTGCTAGTCTGCTGTCAAGATCTTTCCTGACATTAGCCAAGGGAGCATGAATATGTAATGGCCAGAAAGAGAATGTCATAAACCTGGAAATGTTTGAGCTTGAGAACAAACCTTTTGTTTGTGTTGTCATAGCTGTCGTCAAGTCAGCATTGAAAGGTGTTATTCTCTCATTTTGAACAGTTTCTTACTTAGGGTTAGGGTCAGGCAAACACCTGAAGTAGATAAATTCCATTCATACTTTTCTGTAGTATAGTCTGATTTGTGTTACTGTTTTTGGAGTCACGTATATATTGTCAAATCTATCCCATATCCGTTACTATAATAAAATATATATTTAACCTTTAATTGGCATTTGCTGTAGACTCTTGAGCAGCACGGTCAAATGTATATGCTGTTGAAAATGTTATAAAATGTTATGAAGTCATGTTGTTTGAAAGCTGTAAGCAAGTGAAGAATAGCAATCGAGATATCACAACACCTCTACTGTATGTGTTTTGGACTGTCGTCCCTCCAAGCACCTAACAAAATATAAACAATTATGGATCATTAGGGTGAATATGGATACTTTTTTAGGCAAGGGTGATGCAATTCAATTTCTTTTTCATTTACTGTAATGACCAGTTTTGGTCTAACTGTATTTTCTACAAAGCCAGTGGTGCAGTAAGGGAGTGTTATCCAGTGATAGTATTTACAATCCCAGCATGCATTGTGTGACCATGCATTTTGTGCCAATACACTGGTACTACAGACTCAGTGTTGGCTATAGGATACGCTATAAGTGAATGCAAACAATTGCAGTGTGCATTTGGCAAAGCACCAAACATTTATTTCATTTGTACATGGTTGTAAACATACTGTAGTTACACAGGTTTGAAAGCGACTCTGGAGTCTATGCTAGGATAGCTCTAAGCTAAAGAGGTGGAGATACAAACAGATCTTGATCAAAGGCAAATCGGAGTCAGAGAAAGAGAGTGGAAGAGATCACAGAGCCTGGCTCAGCAGAATCAATCACAGGGAGCCACTAATCCTCCTAATCTTAAACGATCGAGGCGTAGGAAGGTAATATGTAGAAGGCAGCGCAGAATCACAGAGAGGACACTTATCATATCTGCACTCAAATAGCCAACAATACAGACATTCAACCCAACCATTTTCAGAATCCAGTTTTAATATTTTAGAAAGAACAATTCAAGGCACATGAAAACATGTTGTTCGTTGTCACAAATAACAAAATAAAGGGGGATTTTTTTCCTCAATGTTGGTAAAGACCCCACAACAATTGGACTACTTTTCTTTGGAAGTCATTTTACAAAGATTGTGATTGTGTTATCAAGATAACAACATGGTTGATGAGGAGCCCAATATGTCCACATTTTGTAAAAGAAACTGAGGTACAATATAACATCTGAGGGAATAAAGTGTGGAAGAACAAGCCCTTTCTTACAATATTTATATTAATATCTCATTTTATTATGGCTTAATATCCTAATGGGCATACCAACTGGCATGAAAAAGACAAAATGCTTTTAGAGTTAGGTGATGTTCCAGTTAGCTCTTATTAATAACAAATACTGAAAGTCATATTATTTACAAAAGGATTATTTTGTACTTACAAATTGGAATGTTTTCAAAAGACATATTTCTTAGCAATTTTGTTTTTAACACACATCAAATATACTCATTGGATTTATTCCTATAGCTTACCAAATACTTATTTAAACTAAGAGCTGGGGCACATGCAAGTTGAGTGGATTCAGGAAAGAACAATATTATACACAATAATAATAATAATTACAGTTTTATCAAAAAGCACTTTTTTGTAGCACCTTGAGTGTTTTGTGATTCTGCACAAAAGCACCCCTGTGGTTGTATTCAGAGCAGCACCTGGAGCTCCAGAGAGGGAGGCGTGGGGGGGGGGGGGGGGGGGGGGGGGGAGTGGATCCTCTCTGTTGCTCTGTCCGCCACGGCATCAAATGTCCTTTTCCTGATGTCACTCCCGTTCCTACATGTAAGTTAAAGTCATGTGATTCTGGCCCTACAAGGGCGAGGAGTAGCTTCCCCGGGTCAGCACTTCATGACAGGGCCTGGGGGGGGGGGCAACTCTTCTTCTCCAGGGCTTCAGTGGATCTTCTCGGCAACGAAAGAAAACACAGGTTTTTGACTTCGCAGGGAGAGAAGGTTTAAGGCGGTGGGATCTCAGCATGTGGGTGTTAGTATGGACCCTCTGACCCTGTCCTTCAGCGGGGAGTAGGGGGTGTGTCTAGCCGAGGAAACAGACGGGGCCGACCTCAAAGCCAAACCTCTGGTTGGATTCCCCAAAGTCATTCAGCATGACGTCAATGATGGGCAACTGGTCGATGCGGGGAGTGTTGATCTCCAGCACCGACTTGGAGTAGCCCTGCTTCAGCTGAAAGCACAAAGAACAGTGTGAGTCCCTTCAAAATAGAACCTTGTAAAACAGGTACAGTAAAGAGATGCATTTGACGGATAAAGGCTTATCTTGAAAGAGCAGACAAAGATGTATTGTTGGTAGAAAACTTCAGGAATGCAGAGATTTGCTTCTTTTCTCTTTTTTACATCATTGTAATTAAAATATCTTGAAGTTTTCAGCTAGTCAAACTAATGAAACAATGAAGATGTCATCTTGGCTTTGGACATTTTGTGATGGGCATTTTTTAAATCATTTAAGAAGGTGTCTCTTTCCTTTGTAAGAAAAAAGTCCTAACTGCTGCTCTATACAAAATATATAGCATAGACTTATGATTATTTCATTTCATATGATTGTTTTCATTATTTACTTGATCATTAATTAATAAAATGTAAAAAAAATGTAAAAAAAATAAAAAGTAAAATCTCTATTACTCCTAAAGCCCAAAGTAATGTCTTCACATTGCTTGTCAAAGAGCCAAAAACTGAAAGATATTACATTTAATATAATTTTCAAAATATATTTACGAAGCTGAAAAAGCAACACAACCACCTATCGATTATCCTAAAGTGTTTTTGTTGAATTAAAAGCTTAATTTCAGCTCTTTCCAACATTCATTACAAACCGTTGAAACTATTTCAGATTCTAAACTCGCCCAATCCCTCGATTATTCTGGTCTGTATCTGACAGTATAAACATTGGCGTGTGCCATTCTTCTCCTGCATATTTGTGAGGATTACTTGGATTCTATGGGATTTGGAACAAAGTTGAATTGCAAAGGGAAAGTTATGAAGCAGTGTTTACCGAGCAGCCGTCCGTCAGGGGCTTGATGAAGGGATTATTGTCGTAGGACAGCTCCTCGTCGTTGGAGCCCAGGAAGCGCAGCGCCTTGTCGTAGCTGTCCGCCTTGGCGTCGTACCAGGCCACCGACTGATGGCAGATGTAGGTGATGTTCTGCCGAGCCGAGGAGCTCAGAAGCTTCAGGAAGGTCATCTGAACTGTGGCGATGGTGCTTTCTGTCATGTCAACGTAGTTCAACTAGGGAGAGAGAGATGGAGAAAAGGAAACAGGGTTAATACAAGGATGGAGTAGAGAGGGACAGTTTGAAAAAGAAATGGTAAGAGAAGGTAAGGCAGGGTAGCAGAGAGTGATTATAGGGAATGAGTTACCGTAAATAAGACTTGTATATAGACTCTTATTGCACTATTTCTATTCTATTTGTATTTAATTGCACTATTTTATTTGTTTTCTTGAGTTGCATTGTTGGAGGAGGCTGTGACCTAAGATTGTCATCGACATAACTACACTGTAGCTATGTACGAATGACAATAAAAGCCTTGAATCTTGAATAAGACAAACTAATTAAACGGCAAGATTAAAAATAAATAATATAAAATAAAAAGTGGTTTTACTCACAATCTTTCCACGTTTAAATTCACTGAACCATGCCCCTGGAGACTCCTTGGGCCAGTTGGATATTCTAACCTATAATCAAAAAGGAAACAAATTAATTCAATGACAATTATAAGTGTTACTTTTCCAATTGCAAAGTGTACATACAGTATATCAGCAAATAGCTCCTCAGCATTTGATTGAGTCTCATACTGTATTGAACAGATTTAGCCTTTTCCTCGTTACTCACCCCTGCGGATTTCTTATCTGGGAAGATGCAGGTTTCTCCGCCCGCTGTGAAGTTACAGAACACTTGGATGGCGTCTCCGGTGCAGCCCTGGTTGGGATCGATCCAGTATTCACCTGAGAGACAAACACAGCCACGAGAAGTAGCCGAGGCAACGGTTTTAAAAATTATTTTAGTTTTTGACATACTGTACTATGATTTTACTCTACTATGCTCTGGCTTCTTTAGTTCAAACACTGATTTTTTTATGGCATAATTTACTTGGAAATTTTAAAAACTTTGTTAAAAAATACTTTTATAGTTAACTTAAAAAATGTATTCATACTTTTAGTTTTAGGGCATACTAAACTATGACTATTTTAGGACACTATACCTTACTACTATACCATACCATTTGAATGACCATCAACCACTTTCCAATAAATGGATTTATGTGTAAATAGCATACTATACTATGACATTTAAGTGACAAACTATACCAGTGACACTCAAATGAGAGCGAGGTAACCTTTCAAACCTTCTGAATATTTGATGTTGTGTATTCTATAGTCAAAGTCAACTTTAATATTAATCTTTCAGTTTGTGTGTACAGACTGAGAGATCGTAAATAGATGTATATCATTCGACTCTATACATTTACCGTTTATTTTTATAACATGGTTTACTCGTGTGCTATGAAGCTGTAACACAATAATTTTAAAATGTGGGTTCAATAAAGTATATCTAATTAAGTCTAAGCTATTAATCTACCTCACAATTAAATTAAACAGATTCACAATGGAAATGTCTTTGTACTTGAAATGCTACTAAGCTTCCAGAGTGCATAAAGTAAGTGCCTGGGGAAGCCATTTAAACTGCCTCTGTTCTCTGCCTTTTTGCAAAAGTGTCCCAGTGTGGGCAAAGCAAGTTGAGTGTCCATAAAGTAGAGGCTAGAATAAATACAGCTCTTCTATACTGAATGTTTAACGTTTTGAAATACTGCAACCGTAGACCAAATTCTACTACCAATGAGGCGGCAGGCTGACGTTCAGGGTCTCCCTCAGACGATCCCAGTCTCATCGCTAACACTAATATAAACTCTTTCTCACCGTCGGGGTAGTCGGGCTGGCTGAGTTGCAGGTCGTTGCAGGTCCTGGCAGGATTGTCCTGGGTGCCCATGGGGAACTTCATGCGCTCGATGTCCTGTTTGAGGTTGTTGAGGGATCCGAAGACATCCTCCATTCCCTCCATACCGGCATCCACGCTGTAGTCTGCCATCGCAGCGTCTCCCTGAACGTCAGCCTGCCGCCTCGTCTTCCTGCTGCCTGCCCCCTGGATGGGCAGCGGCTGGATGAAGTCACCGGGAGGACCCTGCAACAGGAATGTGTAGGTTAAGCATGCACAATTTTTGAACAAGGGATGTATCCAAAAGCATGTACTTGGTCTATAGAGATGGGTCAACATATTGTTTAAAGTTCCCCTATTATACTGTTTTTCATCAATATATTATAGGTCTCAGATATACAAACATGTCCATGTACAGCATCACAGCAGTATATTGTTTAATTTCTAACAATAATAAAGCTTGGGGTAGAACTGCCAAACAACAACAAACAGGGGACTTACAGGGGGTCCGGGTTGTCCGATCAGTCCAGTGTCTCCCTTCTGACCGGCTGTACCCTGAAAACAAAATATGGACATCATTAAAATGAGACCTGTTCTCATTATAAATCACATAGTGGGCAATAAAAGGCAACAATGGACTCACGAATGTTCCCTTGGAACCTTTCTGTCCTTGAGGGCCCTGTTGAAGAGGAATGAACAAGAGATGAACAACATGATATTATGAAGAAGGATGTCTTTTAAATAAAGTATTAAGAAATGTGACTTACAGAAATACCAGGAGGACCAGGAGGGCCGAGGGGACCAGAGGTACCAACAGTACCCTGTAATACATCACATCAAGCAGAACACAGTTAGAATACATCTCATTTTCAATATAATGTTGGATGTGTTAGTCCCAAATGTCTTGCAGTTAGGGCTGAGAGTTTAGGAAGTCATATCAGGTATTTTTGAAAATGGATTTGTACCAACATTTGGCAAATGCATGCAAAATAACATACACATAGCTGGGTTCTTTGTTATGCATCACATTAGAAAAAAGCCTGAATACATCAAAATAACATATATTAAATGATCTCGAACTAGTACATTTGGACTCAATAAAAAAAATCTTTTTCAAAATATGTTTATGCAGACAATGCAGAGTAGACACTTACAAAATCTCCCTTTCCTCCGCTGGTACCCTGAGATCCAGGTAGTCCTCTGTCTCCCTTCTCGCCGGACTCACCAGGAGGTCCGATCAGACCGATAAGACCGGGATGACCCTGAAGCAGGCGGAGAAAGACGAGCAAAAAACATGAGACAAAAGCATTGAAATAGGAGAAAAACATTATATGTACTAGATGTTCTACTAAGGTTTAATTTCTGTTTATTCATCATCTGCTGAAAATGAAAGCAGTTTTTCAAAGGGAAACCAGAATAAAAGTGTATGTACAATATCTGTCCAGGCTTAGTACCGGCTTATTTCTGTCTATAAATAATTAGTGTGTTTATACTGGCGTCATGTTAAAGAATGGGGGTCTGTCTGTGCACCTGCTGCTGGCAGAGTTATGGTTATCTGCGTCTGCATGCTGGCATTTAACAAACGACCACTACAGCGAGGATATTATTGGCTTGTATTCTGCACATCAAATCAGGGTGTGAAAGCACAGAGCAGAAGCTTTCTCCATCTTTACCCGGAGACACTGAAAATAGGGACAAGAGGCCCAGATGTTTGCTTACTTTGGGAGCTTCTGATAGGCAGATATGAGAAATACACAATAAAGCAATTTGAGATTAGCATCGTAATAATATCCTACCTTCCCTCCCTTCCCTCCAGAGTCACCTTTCATACCAGAGAGTCCAGGGGGTCCCTGTGGAAGGAAATAATGAAGCATAACTGTCAGAGAAATGAATACACATTATTTGACTGTGAGAGCCATCACAGATCTCTGCTTTCGTCCTGACTGTTTTCCATTGTTCCTGCAGAGGTACTGCACCCACTACTGTAAGCAATAGGGGAGCAACTAAAGATTAGCTTCAGACGGATTAATCATGTTGTCGATAAATCACTGTCATGGAGAAAATATGCACTGTATAATTTCCCAAAGCCCAGGGTGTCACCTTCAATGGCTGTCATGCTTTGTCTTAACAGTCCAAAAATACAATGCCATTCATGAAAGACAAAAGAAAAGCATCAGATTCTCATATTTAAGAAAACAAAACCAGTACATATTTTTGCAATTTTTTGACAGACAATTATTCAAATATCAAAATAGTTTCTAATTTGTGTTTCTGGCAGTCAACTAATTGATTATCGACAAATAGTTCTAGCTCTACTAAACTGTAAAGTTATCACACTGAAACGTTTTATAGTGTACTAACATATTACAAAGGGAGAACATGTCTTACAATAGGTCCAGGGGGGCCGTCTTGACCAGAAGCACCAGGTAACCCTTGCTCACCCTGAAAATAAAGAAGAAATATTTACAATATCTGGTCAATAACATGAGAATAATCAAAATACTGAATATATGAAGACAGTAAACTGTATTTTAAGAAGCGATACATGATCAAAAAGTCTGTGATACTACAATAGTAGTAGTTCAAATAACATTCATTCACAAACATTGTTTTCTCAATTAACATGATTTAATTCAACATTTCAAACCATTGAAAAAAAATGACAGATAATGAACTAAATGTACTCACAACAGGGCCAGGAATTCCACGCAGTCCCTCAGGACCGGACTTCCCAGCGGGCCCCTGAGGTCCCACAGGTCCAGTTTTCCCATCAGGCCCCTCGGCTCCAGCTTCTCCCTGTAGAACATCAGCACACAATTACAATGACTCCCTTTACAATGCCCAAGGCTCATACACATGTACACTTATATCTATAGAGTTTCTTTGTAAACAAACACAGTTGTACAATTACATTCTGTGTTTCTCAGCAAACCCTCAAGTCCTGACAAACATATTGAATGCATTTCCTCTCGAAGAACAATGTGCAGCAGATTCACACAATAGCAGATCTTAAAAAATGTTACTTTGCAATATGTATGGTCAAGAATGTCTTTTAACTCTGAGAACAAGACCTTTATCCAACTTTATAATGAAAGCAATCCTCCTGCCTGAAGTCAAATTGATGGAAAGAAAACATTGTCAAAAATCGAACAGATTGGAAGGATTCGAGGATTTGCAGCATCCAAACAGATCAAATGTCACCAGATCTCGTCTGTTGTCTCCGAGCAGAAGCAGACAGTTTGTATGCATTGAAGTTCCAGAGATGTCATATAGACCGGGATAATACGAGGGGGGGGGATTAAATTGCTCTGACAACCAATTAGGCCTGGATTTGACATCTTAAGATGGCAAAGCAGGCTTTGTCTTGTCTCCATCAAATCAACTCTAATCCTTTACCTCGGTGTGGACACAATGTGTACTTTGTGTGTGTGTGTGTGTGTGTGTGTGTGTGTGTGTGTGTGTGTGTGTGTGTGTGTGTGTGTGTGTGTGTGTGTGTGTGTGTGTGTGTGTGTGTGTGTGTGTGAGTGAAGGAGGGAGGACTTTTCGAAGCAAACAATTCATGTAAGGCATAAAGATTTGTCTTCCTATTTGATGCTCTTCAACTGTGCACACCACGCGTGTTATGGATTTAAAGAAAGCAATCAAATCCACCGATAGCCTCAAGGAACCCCACTGCTTCTTCAGTTAGACAAATTCATACGGAGGTTAACACAGAAGTGCACCTGAGCAGGGTTTTACAAGAAAACAACAAGAACACATCTGTATAAAAGTCTGTAGAGGTTTAGACATCTAGTAACACTATAAGATATTGTTTTTTGAAATAGATCACATGAAAGAGGGTGGTTTTAATTATTTGAATCAAAACCATGAACAATTGGATTGGAGCAACTTGAAATACTGTTTAGTTTTGTCAATTTTTGGTCATTAATATTTGAAAATCCTAAAAAATAACAGACTCACTGAACATTAAAGCATGGAGACATGTCACAGTAGAGAAACACAATACAAATATGAACCTGGGTATGAGCATAAAAGCACCCCTTTAAAATAACGTTTGCATGCCTCCATATAATTATCCAAGCCTGGTCCCATCATGATTAAGATCTACAACTTCAGAAGTTCATAGTATTTTGTTAAGGTCGAGCTAATGTCAAACGGTTTGCAACTTACCTTGGATCCTTTTTCTCCTTGTTTGCCCTCCAGACCTGCTTTTCCAATAGGTCCCTGAGAAGAACAACAATAACATACAATTAGGATTTTGAACAACAATACTATAAATATATCATTGTATTTAAAAATCTGACTTAATAACAATACACCCTCATGTTAAACCCTTTTACATAAATCAAGGTAACTACTCTTTTATCATGGACAGTCAACTGTATCTACTCAATGACCCTCTGCTGTGCAGGACTGTACTGTATATTACCACAAGCTGTGTGAATATGACAAGCTTGAGAAAAGAATGTGTTTCAGCCACAAGAATATTTTATAGTTATTTGGAAAAAATAAGTCAAGAAGAAGAAGAAGTACTCTACTGAAAGGGTGTCATGTGTATATTTAAACCTGGACCATATTATCTTTGTTTCTGATTGTTCATACTGCTGTTTCATTGCATAGGACAGGTAACCCTTTACTGTTGTAGTTCTTTACCTCAGGGCTAGTTTATCCGTCTTATGTACAATTAGGTTATTTATTGCATTGGTGGACCCCCTCCTGTGGGTCACAACATACATTTGGGGAGTTGTGAGATTATGAATGTGGTATTAATGGCTACGTTATTAGAGTTGAGTGTGTGACATTAATATTGAAAGGGCTGTACAGATACATTTATGTTTTCAAATACGCTTTGCTATTGGAAAGTCGCAGAGAGGAGTCCTAATGGTAGTGGAGTTTGATACTTTGGACTACAGAAAGCATAGCTCAGTGTTATCTCAAAGATGTTCATGTTGTGGCTGAACATTTAGCCGATTTTGTCATTTTGGACGCAATTTCAGAAGGACAGTTTCCGAGCGAGACTTAAATATTGAGCTTAAGGTAAAGAGAAGTGTTTTGTAACTCTGAATGGTTCTTTTCCATATTGTTGTCAGACTTATACAACACTCTGAGCCAGTGGCAGAAACAACACTTTGAGTGGATGTGTATTGACGCTGCAGAATTGCCACGAGCGATTACAACGCAGCTCTTGTGCAGCGATTTTGTTCAATCCTCGACCAATTTCAAAAAGTGTTGTCTCCATTAGTCACTTGCGAACAAAAACATTGGTAAACACAGTCCAAGTTTAAAGACACTAAAGTTACCCTTTAAGTAAAAGCATCAATATAGAAATGTAAAAAAATCACCATTTAATGTCCATGGGAATAATGTACTAAGTATAAGTACTTTTTCTCAAGCAAAAGGCCCCATGTGACTAATGTGTTGTTATATCATGTGATTAGATTGTTAATACTAATGCAATACTAACTGTTGTAGTTGTTCAACGCTAAACTAGTTCATCTATTTTATGTACAGTTAGGCCTTTCAGTCCAGTGGGTTATGAGACTATTAACTAGGTAGGACAGCCAAAAAAAACATAAGGTCTCGGACTCTCGGATTGACTAAAAATGAGAATGATTTTACCAGTTCTGACCTCAAACTGTAATTCCAGTGAAACCATCTTAATGTCTATCTATGCGGTAAATCTTCCGAACTGTTGGCAATAATTGACATTGCTTTGTGTCAGAGGTCACAATCCAACATGGTTAGGAACCACTGCTTAGCTATTTAGCAATCAATGTTTTTACATAATGACAATAACTAGTTCATATCGCTGTCAAATACATTTATGGGTGAAAAATATAACATTTTCCCATGAAAAGTAGTTCAAATAAACAGACTTTAAATATCTACAGCACTTAAGATAATATACTTATTTTCTATCACTGCTAATGCATGATCTCAACAGTGTTTATGGTACCTATTTATATGTTGCAAAGGCTGCATTATAATAAAGAAATGGCAGCTGGTTGATACTAATGCAGACTCTACTAAACATCACCTCTGCTTAGATACACAAAACAAAATGAATTTACTTTAGAAATGAATGTTTCAGTTTTAGTTGTCCTTATTGTGCCAGACTTGTATACAGTGCATTAATAGCCTGCTTTATTGCTCACAGTAAAACATTATAACAGTAAATGGAATGCATCGTAAAATTGCCACGCCAGAGAAATGAAATAATGTCAGACCCAGGCGGATGTGTCAGAGAGGGCTTCGAGTGCCAGACATTAAAGTGACACGTTAATTTCCAGACATTAGAAGCAGCTTTCAAACTCATAATATGTCAGTATATTCCTGCAGGATGCTCTCTGCTTGGAACTATTGGCTATTCAAGACTCTCAGTTTAACTAATGGGCAACATTACATTGTATCCAAACAGAAAATGCTATCATAAATGTGTGTCTTAGTGTGACAGTGTGTAATATTTGTTAAGCCTTTAGGAGCATTGTGAATCTAAAAATAGGGAACATCTCGAGAGCTTAGCAGAGGTATGATCTTGTGCATCATTTTGGAAATGTACTCACCCTTTTACCCGGAGGTCCTGGTACTCCAGCCTCACCAGATGGACCTGCAGGGCCCTAAAATGAAAAGATAAAACATTAGCCTCACAAAAACTGAAGGGTTTAGTTACATAATGAGACATTACTTTTTGGTCCTTTTCACACCCCTTTCTTTATATTGGTGCTACAGTTGACTGTGTATTTAACAGAACTTAAATGTACAGAAACTGCAATATCTTTTATGATTTATAATGTCATAATGCAAGACAGTCATTGACATAATTTACGTTATTGTACAGGTATTTAAAATGTTGAATGTTAAAGATAGTCTATGATTACATTGATTTTAAATGATCACATTCACCACGCTGCTACTTCAAAGCTACTTTGCCTTCTTGGGTTACTGCTGTGTTTTAACACATTATGCTGTTCATGAAATTGCATGTGAGTGGCTGAATGTGTATTTTCAAGTTGTTCACTTTGCATGTTTTAACAAATTACGCTCACGCAATACTTACTGGTTGTCCGGCCTCTCCGTCGTCTCCTTTGTCACCAGCTAAACCGTCAAGACCCTAAAACAAAAATGACAACATTAGTCAGCTCTTGTACTGCACTGTAAGACTAATCACAGAAGGGTCTATATTATTGGAACATTAAAGAAATGCACATACAATAACCAAGTCCTATTACACAAAATTGAAAAATCAAGAATGAAAGAGGGAGGTATGGGTAATATAAGGATCCTATTAGGAGTCAAAACATTGTATGCCATCTTAAAAATGAGTGATAAATGTAGCACTTACAGCAGCACCGGCCTCTCCAGGGGGACCGGAGTCTCCTGGGAATCCGACAGGACCCTGCAGACAGACAGAGACACTGAAAAGGCTGATATTTGCGTCGACAACATCTCTGACAGCTACACTGAGTCATATGACACAGTGATTCTGCAGCTGACAGCTTTAATAACTCTTCAGTAATGTCGCTGTGTGTGTGTGTGTGTGTGTGTGTGTGTGTGTGTGTGTGTGTGTGTGTGTGTGTGTGTGTGTGTGTGTGTGTGTGTGTGTGACGGTGGAGGTGACATACGGGGTTGCCCTTGGGGCCGTCGTCTCCAGGGGGCCCGCGGGCACCGGCTGGTCCAGCAGATCCGGGGGGGCCGGATTCTCCCTTCTCTCCATTCTCTCCACGGATACCCTGAGGGGAAAACAAAACAGAGGCCATGAAGACCACAAACATAAGGGCCATCAACGCTTCCTTGACAATAGCATGCTACATAAGGCACAAAGTGTGTGTGTTTACAAATCTGTCACTCCAACTGGCAACAAAACAAGCACCGAAATGGCTCAAAGAATGGTGAAAGAAAAACAAAATGAGGCTTTAAGGCTTTTCTAGATTATATTCTTCAGATTTTGTATTAAAACATTTGTTCTGATCCTCTAAATGATTACTTTTTGCTCTAGTAATAGCATCAACAGTGTCTTAAAGTGTTGGCTCTGACTAGAGCAGGAGATGGAGCAATATAACGAGCTCAGAATCGTTAGTTGGCCCATTAGAGCAGAGTGCCTCTCTAGTCGATGTCCCCATGGCACCTTTGAATTCGACCTCGATGTGACGTGCAACACTGGCTCTATCTGTCACTGTAAACAAATCCATAGCCACAGATACGTAAATACAACCTGATGGACTCAAGGAAGGGAACTGGCCCACGCCTATGACTAAGGTGAGTCCACCAGGGTCTATAAAAAGACTTCTTAATTATTAGCAATGCTCTGAATTGTCAATAATGAATCATGATTTCACTAAAAGGTCGAGGCACTCTTGCAGGCAAACACAGTATGCTGCCTTAATGTTAATGCATATTTAATAAGTCATCTAAAAGCAATTTGTCAAAATCATTTGATTTATTTTTAGAAAAAGTATTTAATAACAAATGTATGTCATGTAACATTCATTTTAGAGAAATGAAACAAAACACATTTTTGGGAAAAAAATAACTTTTTTATATTCTGCATATTCTGACATTGCATCTTATAACAGTCAGGAGGTTAGAATAAAAGACAAACCTCTAATGGTCTCCAAATCTATGGCTAAAGTAATTTTATGATGAGGTTACTATCATTGCTACACAGCAGACTGCAGTTATATGCAGGTAAAATACTTCTAAATCGATTACTGTATAGCACAATTGTAAATGAATAAACATAAATTAATAAGCTGCCCTCCAGATGTGTTTTTCTTCATTGACCCTGAATATTGCATACAGTGTCACACTACTAGATTGGGTGTTGTGTTTCTAGTCATGCATACGTGCTTTGTAATCACAACATTATCAGTTATCTTGTTTTAAAAAATCGAAAGCTATCTGAAATGAGATTATGAGTATTTAAAAGATGAGATTGTACTTACTCCGAGACCAGGCTCTCCAGCTGATCCTGGGTTGCCAGATTCACCGTTTTCTCCCTGTTGAAAGTGAAAATGTAGATTATCACATTTGCAGTAAACAAACCAGATAGTGCTAGTATTTATTTGGATCTAAACATACCAAAGGAAATAAAATAATGTATTTTTAGGAGCTGAAAAGAACTTCAGAATTGCTCTCTCTATGATATGATGCTTACCTTCTCACCAACACCTCCCATTGAACCGATACCACCGGGAGGACCTTGAGCACCCTGTAGAGATAAATCACAATAGGGACAGTTAGGGAAAGTCAAAGAAATATTGAATGAAAAGTGTGTGCTTTTATTAAATTATTAGAATGATCTAAGCCAACAATCAAACTCACATCGGCTCCGCTGGAACCCTGAGGACCTCTGGGGCCAGGAGGACCATGTGGACCCTGTCAGAAAAGAAAGTGAGGTTCAGTATAGAAAGAGCACCATGATGTTACAAAAGGCAAAGTAAATGTATGCTCTACCTTACATGGTCAAAATACATTTAATAGAATCACTTCATGCTGTAATGTTTTGTGTTTTAAAAAAAAATGTGAACCGGAAGCTGAGGGACTTCATTGACCAAGTACATTAGTTGAGTTTATATGCTTCTATACAAACATACAAAAACAATAGGTACAGCCAAGTTTATAGACGGAAGTACTTACTGTAAGGCTCCCCGTGATAGTAAGCATAGCAAAACACAAATAGAAATCATTGAACATTCAACCAAATCTGAACATAATGCTTGTTGAATTGAACTACCCTGAGAGTACTTATTGTAGTCGAAAAATGACTTCTAGTCTGATACTGGATGGGAACAGTGCATCACTAGCAAAAATGTGAGAGTCAATACATCGTCCACAGACTTTTTAAAATCTGCCTTAGTCAAAAAACTTCAGTACGTCAAACACTAAAAAGCTATAGAGGAAAGTCGCTAAGTGATCTGTACTCACCATTGCTCCAACGTCTCCGTTCTCTCCCTTCTCACCAGGAGGGCCGGGCAAACCCTGAAAGAACACAAATCATCTATAATAAGAGGAATAGTCACAGGATGCAGCACCTGAGACAAAACTGCACATTAGGACATCCTGAGCAGAGATACATTGTTGCTGACATTACCAGGCACCAGTGATGTGTATTAAACAGTGAACTTTGGGATGCTGCGTGATGGAGAATGCATTATTACAAGCAGAACCCCTGAGTGTACACACACAATTAGTCAACAAGGACACCTTTTGTAATTAAAGGGTATGGGAGGCTTGGGTATAATCAGCCTGTGTAAATTACAAAGGGGGGAGCTCCATCCATCTCTGTCCACAGGAAAGTGGAAACAAAGAGGACGGTGCAGGCGGTGCGTGTTATATAGTTTTGGGATTCAATCATGTTTGACTAAAAACTGTTTGAATACAACTTGGGAAGGTGCAACAAAATGAATCTTGCTATTGTAGCTTATTGTCTGTGTGCATAATTGCAGTTATTATTTGTTGTGTTAGTTGGGGTCTGATGATGGAGCACGCATAATCAATAGGTGGGTGGAAGGCGGCAGTAATCATAAGTTACTGTGAAACCAAAGTGACGTAGATATCCATCATTGAGATCACATATGTGTAGTTTCACCTCATTCTGTTGATTTAATGTACCTCTGAATGGCAGAGAAGCTCATTTATAACAGAGTCTGAGTGGGACTTTAGACACAGTAATAAAGCATGAGGGTAGTAAGAATGGAGAAGTAAATAAAGTATCAAATGATTTCATGCATAATAATGCTTAGATGTGACGGGCTCTTGATCAATGTACGACTTGTTAGGCTTATTTGTGAATAACATGTACTAATGGATTAGCAGGCGGGAAATAAGACGTGCATTGTGGGTAAAATTAACATGCAGACACACTTAAATATACAAACAACTATTCATATCAGAGCAATCAGTGTTTACTTATGATTTGGCATTTCTTAGTCTTGAATAACACAAAGACAATTTGGTGTAATTAAATCCGAAACATCTACTTTTCATCTTAACTTTTCTATCTGAAGAATTCATGTGCTCAGCGAGGACGGCAAACACAATCCTAAATGATGGAAGCCTTTCAAACTGAAGCCAATCATTCCCTATAGTCGAAAATCATTAATGCTTCAGATAATTGAATTGGAGAGCTGAGCTTGCAATGGCTGCTGCCATCTATCGAAGGGCAGCTTGGCTAAAACATAATTAAAGAGTGGAGACGGAGTGCATTATGCCCAATTAAAAGCCAATTGCAGTTAATAACAGCCTTATCTGGCCCTATTGACCAGCAGGGCTTCACTCTAATTTCATCATCAGTGAGTCCTTGGATAATTGACTTTAAGATTTTCTAAAATGCGCTGTTGCTTTATTCATTGCCACCAAGGCAAGATTTAAACGTCAGCTCATTGGCTTGAAATGAGCCGACACTTTGCCATTTAGCTCGTTTCCCTCCTTTGCAGTTTGGAGGAAAACACTTAGATGAATACAGCAGAGTCACATCAAGCTTAGTCCTAATCTCAGTATTACATTCTTATGGGAATATAAAGCAAACACAGACTATACTGTTCAGTTTCGAGTATGTGACTTTTGCTAAATGACAAAAAGTGACATTTTCCACTCAGTTCTGGCATTTATTACCGTCTTTTAAGAGTCACACAAGAATAATAGATTGATAAATTCATGGGAGTTACTAAGGTTTTATCTTCCCTGAGTGTGTTGAATTGTGGAAATATGCAATTTATAGGTATTGACTTCTGTTTAATACAGTTTTCAAGAGCGAGAATGTATTATTTATTTTCTCTAAAGTAATTCCAGTAGTATAATTTTAAAACCAAAATGGATGCTAAAAACGTTCTGCAAATCAATGAACAACCATTAAAAAGAAGGCCACAGATCAATGTGTGTTGAAGTGGAAAATAAAACTGTACGGCACTTAATATGCATAATCCATGTTTGTTTGCAAGCTTTACTGCTTGTTATTTACAAGTTGAAAATACCGGACAAAGCAAATCTCCACCCTTGTATAAAGAGTGTCCAGTCTGCTTCAGATTTAATAATAATAATAATAATAGATTTATTTTGTTAGCGCTTTTACAGGTGCTCAAAGACGCTTTACAGATATAGTGAAAAGAAAAGAACAAAGAAATATATATAGTTAAAGTTAAAGTCAAATAATACAAAAACAATCACACATTAAAAGCCAGATTGAAGGTGAGTTTTTGTGAGTTTTTTGAAGGTGGTGAGGTCAGTGAATTTACTGCCCCTTTCTCTGAATCCTCTATGAAATAAACAATGTATTGTAATTTGTCCATTATGAAGAAATGTGATTATTTCTACTATACATTGATTAAAACATTTGATTGAATACAAGCTACTGCTGGGCTCTATATGGGAGTGGGAGTTTAATGTATGATAATGATGTAGTGAAACACCAACAGCAGCCTCCCTTCCAACATTAAGGGGCGCGGCAAAATGCCAAATGTTAGCAGTGGTGATGGATTCTGATCACTGTCTATACTAGGGAAGGTCCTTTAGGAAGAAAACACATTATTTGCCCAGGAGCTATACAAAGTGTTATTAAGAGCCTGGGGTGCATTAATACATTATGCTCTTTTGATGTATGTAAATGATGTGAAGGAAGGTTGGTTCAAAGGGTGTGAAGGGGCTTGTTCTGCTCTATCTGAGAGGGAAAGAGTTGTGCAAACCTTCAGGGCTGAGTGGTCAGGCTGTCATGTGTCCAGAGAATGAGAGGAAGGGAATCAACTTGTATTTGTATTGATATAAAAGTCTTACCTGCAGTCCGACGGGTCCTGGAAGACCGGGGAATCCTCTGGATCCTTCGTCTCCTTTCTGGCCAAACATACCCTGCTGTCCCCTGGGTCCAGACTCACCATCGCTGCCCTGTGGGGGGGGGGTCAAAGATCATTAACATCTTCATTCTGAGCCCCGTTAGCTGAAGATTCAGCAACTGCAAGTCCACAAACACTGGTATCTATGTGGAATTTCTCTTATGGGATTTATTTGCCCTCTTAATCCTTCCCAAGGTTGTGGAGTATATCCGAGCACACATGGCAGAGGGTGGGTCGATGCCAGTATACAAACACATATTAGAACAGACAGTTTACCTTAATGCCTTTTCTCAAGGTCATTGTATGGCAATTCCATCTCTCTATCAATTCTCTACACCCACATATTCTTGCTCTAGGTCACAAAGGGGCTGATGTTTTTCCCAGCATGCACCCTGGAGAGGTCAACAGTCTGTCTCAGGGCTAATGCATTTACCACACATTTGCACTCACAGGCCATTTAGAGTTTGAGGCGACCTCCAAATGTTTTAAAACAGGCAGGGACAGGGACAGGGGGGCAGCTCCAGCCGTAGATCAGCTGTGCTGCTGGGCTACCTTTGGTTAACAGCAGCCAGATAACCAAGGCTCCTCATCAGGGAACAGTGCATTATTGCCAAGAGGTAATGGTAAATCTTGTATCTGAAAGTTGCTGACTTCATCTGTGAAGCCAGAGACGCACAGGACTACAGAGGATAGTAAAAGGGAGAATACAGGGAGAGAGCAAAGTGCTGACAAACTGGGAGTTTTCAGTTCAAATGCATGTCAGCACTTGAAAGAGCTCTCGCTGAGCCCTGGGACATGTAGGAAGCCTCAGGCTCTGGTTCTGAATGCAGAGCAGTTTAGGAGGAAATGTTAGGTGATTACAGGTAATGGCAGTGCAACTCTAAACTGAACAGTTGAAAACAAGCTGGACTGAAGTTTAGAGAGGCTATTACCCCGAATAAAGTCACACATCTTACCCCGACAACTCATCTGGGAGATCAGACTCAGATATAAGCAGAGTGTTTGGACCTAAATGCTGCATTATTTGCAATTTATTGTAAGGATGCATTAAAAACTCTTGCCACTATTTGTGTTGGAGCTCTTTGATTGATGCAATTTGATCCAAAGCATGGAAGAAAGCCTGCAAAAGTTATTCTCACGACTAAAACACAAAGCATCATTCTTATACAACAGTGCAGTTAAAGTATAATCTGCAGGGCTGACTAATTATATTGTGAAAACCTGTCTCACTGTGTTCTTAACTCTAGCTAAAAGAGTGTAGGAAGTGCACACATCTGTGCATTCAACCCACAATGAAGTTCTAATTATATAAAATGCTTTCTTAGGGGCTTTAATCATCATAAGTGATTTTATAACTTGTTCTAAATCTGTAAATGATACATGATTTTTCAGGACTATCTGAAACTGGATGTGCCGTGGATGTATATGAATGAGATACCTGTGGGTATAAGAAGTGCTTCTGTCTGCAGGCAGGTGTAATGCATGACTCATCTAACTTATATGGTTAGATTGTCCCTGAAACTAATCCAGGGTTCATACACTTTTTCACCAATGATTTTCAATGACTTCTCCATGACCTTTACCTACTTTTCCATGACTAAAAAGATTACTCTTTCTCAGCGGTACGACTGATAATGGTTTATTTTAACATGGAACAGGAAAATAAGGTCTGCATATGAAACATGTTGTGCCTTTCTAAAACAAATCAAATAGTAGGCTTACTAGCTTCTACACGCTAAAGCCACTAAAATGTCTCACCAGCAAAATACCTCAACAGTTAAATGCCATTTTACATTTCATTACTATACGATACAGTATTTATTATCATTATAGTATTACTATTTCGTCGATTAGATAAAATATAAATTATATTTGATGCAACTTTGGTTACATTTCCATGACTTTTCCAAAACTTTGGGGAAAATATTGTTTTCCATAACTTTTCCAGGGCCTGAAATTAGCATTTTGAATTTCCATGACTTTTCCAGGTTTTTAATGACCGTAAGAACCCTGCTAATCTAAGTGGCTATTTTAGGGCTTGCATCAGGTTATGTCAGCAAAAAACGTGACATTTCAGAAATTGTTCTTATTAAAGATTTTCGCTTTTTATATTGGACACTGCAAATCACACAATTGGTTTGTAGAAAAGGATGTTTACTACATCCAGCTCAAGATCAATAGTGTTTCATTCCAACTGCTTGACTTTATTTGTATCTTAGAGACAATACCAGTTAAGGAGCTGTTGTAAAACTCACATTTTCCCTACAAGCACCAACGTTTCCCGGGATTGAGAGGTGGGTGTGATAGTTTAGTCGAGATTAATAACAGCATTATGACTTGCAAAGAGGGCAGATCTGGTGAACCTACACAGCACGAGTCAGGATTCAGTTATGAAAGCATGAATACACATGAGCAAGCTGACTCACCAGGATAAACAACTGTTAAATAATTTGTTATTCAGCTTGGGTGCACTTCCTGCCCACGGTGATCCGTCTCTCCAGGTCTATTGTAGCCCCACAGAGCCCAAAATATGCTACATTGTTGCTAGAGTGGTTGTTAAGGCCTGATAATCTACAGTGATGAGCTATCAGTTTCCCTCCGGCCATCGGCTATTGTAGAAACTGGACTTTTACTGTTGTGTTAACGAGAAAGATCAGTGGAAGATGTTCTGCAAGGCGGTATTTTTTGCCAAAACAGGTGCCATATGAGGTAGAAAATGAAAATGATAGTTGGGTTGGTGCTCCATTGTGAATTGTGAGACGGTATCACATTGCAATTCACATGTTTTTATTTAAAAGATGTCTAAAAAAGGAGAAAGTTGTTACTGTGATGACAAAGCTACTTAAGGGGTACAAGTCATAATGAAAACGCAATTTGTGTGACATCACAATAATAAAATAAGGGTAATTCTTTAATAAATGGAACTGCAGCCAAAGGTTTTTGGACTGCAGAGGCGACAGTAAAAAGCTATAGTGATTTCGTAATGTGGCCCTGACCTGGCTGGGGCAGTACATCATTCCTGCTCCTCTGAGGAATAGCACATTGGTCTTTATTTCTTTTTCAGAAGCTTGTTGTAACAGGGGTCTCCAACTATGTGTCATTAAGTTTTCCAAAGTATCTAAACACCTCTCATTTTAGTGATTATCACACCATTAGCCATCAATGGAACGGGGTTTGAGAGTGACATTAGATGGGCCAAATAAAGCAATACTTACAGCTGGACCAGGAGCTCCGAGCACACCCTGAAGACCGGCTGAGCCTGGTGGACCCTATAATCACAAACAAAACACAAGATATCGCTTATTGGGATCCCCATCTGGTGGTTGCAATTACACTTTATACAATGAGCAATACAGATACAACATTGATATTGTGCCAAACAAAAAAATCACATTAGAACTAAACATTTCCAACAATGAAATTCTGCTTTTATTGCATTCTGAATATAACACAACATACATCTGCTGTGCTAACTGCACCAGATAACAATGGAAGTTAATGAAGACAATTACATACTATATATATATTTATGTTCTTAGAGATGGTCAACCTGGAGGAACATGCATATTCATATTTAATAGATCTGAAGTGATGCTTGTGATGACTTAAACCAAAGGCAGTTCAAAAACACAAATGTTAGAGGACAGAACACACTGGAATTGTGTATTGGAAATCTCAGTAGCCATTAGGAAACATAGCAGCACTTCAGTTCATATTTGATATGCTGCAGACTGTTTAGGGCAAGATAACCTGAGATGAGTCATTGCACAGAAAGTAACCTGTGTTCTTTTAATGTTTCAGAATCATACGAAATAAGTTAAAAATAAGACTCACCAGTTCACCGTGGTCTCCTTTGCTTCCCTTCTGTCCGGGTCCACCAACTTCTCCCTGTGGTGAAACACAAAGAGCAGAGCTCACATCTCGCTCATCCATCTTGAAAGGCCTCGTCTCTAATGTTTAGTCCAATATCTTAAAGTGTCACCTCTACCACGAGTGGGTAGTAAATATTCCTCAAGAGATTCTAATTTGATATGCCCACAAAGACCTTGAGCGAGTGTTTGCAATTAATTGATTGGCTTCCTGTCTAACCCCACTGGCACTATGAATGAGACGTGACTGGGGCACGATGGTTACAAATGCAAAGCTCCAGATATGTGGTTCAATGATATGTGGAATTAGCTGGCCTCAGGGTAAACAGTTCATGTTTAATTGTGTTCAGAAATGTTTCAATGCATACAAAGTGTGCTTATTTTGTTTACTGGATGCAACAACCTGATACTATTTAGCTATGTTATTTCCCCCTCTTATTTATACAGGTTATATCCTGTCATTGTGGTCTTGACTCAAACAGAGTGAATACAAACAATGTTTCTTTATGTGCGCATTCCTGTATATGCATATGTATGAATGATATACAATGAATGTATATTGCCACAGCAGTGCAGCAGCAGCCTATGTGAAATGCCCAGGAGAAAATGAAAGGAAGATCTGCCACACATTTCTTATATAACAATCCCTCATTTCTAGACACATTTTGAAGCTACTGACAGTTGCATTCTTTGATGTATTTCTTTGTGTTAGAGAAAGCTGTTTCATCATCATTAGGGAGGAGCTGCTGGTTACAGACATTGAACTAAAACTTGAATCTGTTTCAAATATAACTCATCCTCCTGGGTTTGATATTAAATGCAAGGATTATTAGCATTCCAGTGTGTGTCAGCTTTACTGCACCTTGTCACCGTCCTCTCCGGGGGGCCCCTGAGGGCCGGCAGGACCAGGAAGACCAACAGGACCCTGAATGCCATCACGGCCAGCGGGGCCCAAGGGTCCTTTCTCTCCCTAAACACATCAATTAAACAGTTTCAGCCATCAATTCAGTGTATCGGGGGTTAACAGTGAAAGGTTTGATGCAGTTAGGGTGAGACAGAAGTACTCACAGGTCCTCCTTTTTCTCCAGCAGGGCCCGGTGGTCCTTGGGGGCCGTTGCGTCCTGTCAGGCCGATGGGACCTCCAGGGCCAGCAGCACCTCTCTCTCCAGGAGAACCCTGACACAGAAGAACAAAACACCCATCAGTCATTGCTGCATGATGCTGTAGCTAACTAGAGGATACTTCCTGCAGAAAAGACATGAAAGGGCTGAAGGTAACAGAAACTTTTGAGTGCATACAAACTAACTTTTCAGTAAGAAGGCTGCACTAATTGAAGGGCTTTTTAAAATAAACCAGGCGATTATAATGTGACACTATATTTGAATGAATACGCCTGATTATATTTGTCTTTTTTCCAATTTTCACTGAACTATATCTCCAGATTACACAAACAGGAAGGTCAAGGACACTATTCTCCAAAGAGTAAATATGATGCTTTTGCACACATTAGAATATCAAAAATATGACCTTTTCATTTGATTACTTTTTATTGGACTGCTTTAAAAGCAATAAAAACATAACCCATGACTGAACAAAGAATGCATCCAGAACAATAATACAAGTATAGTGACCCTTCTGTCAACCCTGCAACCTTCACAGGGTTACAAACTTTTTATCTAACTAATAGGATTCAGATGCTCTCCTCTGCCAAGGCCTTATGGAAGGTATTTTCATCAGCGTGTCCCATTACCCTCTCTTCACTGAGCTCAGGTGGATGCTCATCACTGTCTGGGTAACCCAAATCAAATAAACTGTGACTTAATCTGCCATCAGGAGGTCATTACAGCTTCTCCTCTCCAGGGAAGGTCTGAGGATGCCATCAAATAAACCTTGCACATGTACAACAAGCCAAACACACACACACACACACACACACACACACACACACACACACACACACACACACACACACACACACACACACACACACACACACACACACACACACACACACACACACACACACACACACACACACACACACACACACACACACACACACGCTCTGCCACCTGGCACTCATATACCTGGCCCATTTAATGACAGACAGTGCCTGTTACACACACACAGATCCAAACTGTCATCCCCAGCCTGCCAACCTGCCACCAGGCCACACACACACAGACTCACACACACACATATTTCATTGACTCACACAACTTCACATTTATTTTCTTCTGCTTCACTCCCTCTCATCTCATAATTTTCTCCCACACATGTGATTCTCTGGCCATAAACTGCGATAGATAAAACGTTATGTTTGTGACTCAACTTGTCATATTTTTTCTTTTTTCTCTTGTGAATTTATCGTGGTTTTCTTGGTCCATCTCTTTCAAACAACCTTCTCAAAAGACTGTGAAACACAACACATACGCTGCACTCTCAGACTTTCCCACAGCACAACAGCAGCTCAATCTCTGGCAGGAAATCGATGGAGGGGAAATATCAGATCTCTTGTGTGCGAGGGCATTGCACACAGCGGCCTCTATTTCAAGATTGCTTTTTTTCCCTTTTCAAACACTTCCAAAACAGTCTATCACATGTTTTCATTGACTGGCTTACTTTCAAGACAATTTAGGAAAACTATCTCGCAGTGGAAATGGTTTCACTCATTCAGAGACCGCCCCTCTTCCTCGCTTTCATCATCTTTTCATCCCTGCTCTGCATATCCGCTGTCATCTAATCCAGTGTTGCTCTGTCGCTGGTGAGCAGGGGCAATTATCGGGTGCCCGCGTTTAACGCTTGAACAAAATGTCAGACGGTTCAAAGCTCGCTGTCAGTCAGCTTTCTGTACGGATTCACCACCGGAGCTCCAGAGGCTTTTCATCGCATGTACCGCTAACCGAGGGGCTCAGAGACACAGGCAGGGGGGACAAAGTGGCCCACTTATTTATGGGTTGTCCTGAAACTCTTATCCCCTTCCTGTTCATGGTCCTAAAATAGGCAGAGTATGTGAATGCAGATGCCATATCGGAGAGGATGTCCTTTTCTGTCATTAATACAAATGAATGCAGCAGAGGATGCAACACAAGTCCCTAAAATCACAGAGAACAACATCCTGACTCTACAGTATAATGTCTGATGATCAATTGAGTGCAAAATTGAAGTAGTGGTCATTCAAAAATAGAAACGAGACACTTGCCTAATCTGTGTTGCTACAGTAACCACTGAATGTGATAGAACACATCTCCTGCAAGACCAATGAAGCGGCTGTGATGAAACGACTGACTAATTGCGCAATTAAGATCATTACACCATGTTTCAAATTGGTGTTGTTGGACACTTTGGTTCATTTCATACTTAAAAAGAAACACTTTAAATCAAGAAGCATCTTCTTCTATCAAAACATAGTACATAAACAACGAATCACCTATTTTAAAACAGCTAAAAGTGTAATATTTATCTCCCATTGAGGAATAATGTACTTCAACACAACATAAACAGGCATGAGAGGTGAGTCACAGTTATGCAAATATGTACCACCATCTTATGACAAGAAAAGACAAAAAATAAGAGTTAATATTATCGTATATTATCATGTTGACAGCAGTTTACTTTCCTGCTGCTTCTGTGTGACAGGAGAGCAGAGTGTGTGCAACTCCATTCACAAAAGTAATTATTTTACTGTAATATTTGCAGCAGGAGAGATGAGGTAACCATAGTAACAGGGTACTTACGAGGGGGCCGGGGGGACCCTGAGGCCCTTCTCCTCCCTTCAAGCCACCTGGACCCTGAAAGCAGAGGACAGGAGGGTTAGATCATTCACTCAATGCCATTCAGAGAGCCGTAATCACAGCTGTCCAATGGGCCAATAAATGTTACCGTGTGTGTGTGTGTGTGTGCGTGTGTGTGCGTGTGTGTGTGTGTGTGTGTGTGTGTGTGTGTGAATGTGTGCATGTGTGTGTAGAGGGCTTAACTCCTGAAAGGCATACATACAGTAACTAGCCATTTGTGATCTATATACAAAGGGAAGAGATCTTTGTAGGTACAGTAATGTTCTTCCATTACTGCCTTAAACGAATGGGCAAGACTTTGTGTTGTTGTGAGGTTCTCGTTTGTTTTTGTTCTTGTGTGATTGAGTACGGACTGAAAAAGTGAATTTCTTCTATAATGGAAAATAAAGAATAAATCTGAAACTAATCTCTTTTTGTAAATTAGTAATAATTGAAGATTTTCTCCAAAATATATAATGACAGTCGATTAAGGTTTCGTTCCAGTAAAAGTTTTCTTAAAGCTACTTAAAGTATTCCTTCTAGATTTAAGAACATGAAAGCAAAGTAGAGGATGTGCTCTCTCATTACCCGTGTTATTAGCTTCCAATTAACTGAGGCAGCAGCAGGTCATTAAAGGGTCACTTCTTAAAATACAAATACTTAATTTAAGAGGCACATAGCCTTACAGAAAAACTTGGTTTTATTTAAAGTTTGTAATATAAGTTTATATTAGATTCCTGCAGTCACCCCACTCAAATTGAGGTTAATGAAAGTTTGTTTACGGTGCTCTTAGTGAGGAAAAAATACACTTAAAATACCCAAGGGCACAGAATTGTTGAGGATTCATTTTAGAAGTTAAGTGACAATTAATTCCTTGCTTATCTAATACCAAGATTTAAAAAAATGTTTACCTAAGCTGCAGTTCAATTTCTATTAGATAAAACGTAGCTTTCGCTTAGAATTTTGAAATGGCCATATCTGTTTCCATATTTAAACTTTTACTCCAAAATGTGTAATATAAAAAGCTTGAAAAGGGAAGGAATGACTTGTTTCTGAAGCCCACAGTGGGACAAAAGTTGAAGTAGAATCCGTCTATCTCCGGACCTCTGTCATCTCCTCGGGATCCCGACCCTTGAATGGCATTGCTTATTCTGCTGAATAATAGCACCAGGAGGCTGGGATTGCTTATGGAAAGCAGAGTTCACCAGAGGCGGTAAAGACTTTCATTATAATAACTAATTTACAGGCTCCGACAGAGCCAGGGGGTTCAGACGCTGCAAAGCAGCCTCTCCACCTCCCTGGGTTCCACATTTCAGGACGGTGCATTAGAAGGCTGGCAGGATCTTTCTTTGCCAGACACACAAAAAGTTATTTATTGGCTCGTATATTGCCACTGTGCCCTTTTCTCAAGAGTAAGAGAGGGGATGGAGATTGTGTGGGTGTGTATGTGTGCATCAATCTATTTTTCTCTTTCAGATTGGTATAAACGTGTGTGTGTGTGTGTGTGTGTGTGTGTGTGTGTGTGTGTGTGTGTGTGTGTGTGCTTGCAGAGTGTGTCTGTTTGTACCTGTGCTCTCTGCGAAAACACAATTGGATTAACTTTTTACATTCTCCCTCATACAACAAGTGAGCACATTTATGTATGTTTGTGTGGGAGAGAGTGGGAGGCTTTGTTTGCTCTGGTAGAGTGTGTATGTATATGTGTGTGTGTGTGTGTGTGTGTGTGTGTGTGTGTGTGTGTGTGTGTGTGTGTGTGTGTGTGTGTGTCACCCTTATGAAAAGAAAGCCATCCTTCTGTCATGGGACAAACATAACGGAGGTAATAAGTCTGAGCTGTGCTGCCGTGTGCTCTCTTATTAATGGTCAGCCTTGAAATGAGCCTCAGCCTCACGCTGATCCTCAGTCAGCCTCTAGCAGCTATTTGCTCTTACCTTGAACTTTTCCTCACCCACTCCCTCTTCTTTTGAGAATTAATTTGGGGTTACTCAGCAGGCTATGGGGTTCATTTGATGCGCTCACAAAGTTGTGTGTTTGACTCACAATCAAAAGGGCTTTGACTCATTCTTCGATCGAAAACAAACCAGGAATGCCTTTAGAACAAAGGATCTGCAACTAGTGCAGCTCTAAAGTTGAAGTTAAATTCCTCTGATACAGACATTTGACTCGTTAAAATGCTGTGCCAAAGCAATATTTACCTTTAGGTGGCAATATTGGCTCAATCCTCTTCTTTATTCTTCTATGTGAGTCATTTCTTCACATTTTAGTCAGGTCCATGGCCAAGCCTAACATTTGGTTTAACAGCAGGTAGTTAGCCTGGTAATGGGGATCTGAAACTAGATTCAACTGAGTGTGTGCTCAGTGTGTGTGCGATAACACACTTCACATGTGTATTGTTTGCATGAGTGTGTAAATGTGTACTGTCTTTTTTTATTTACCATGGCTCCTGGAAGACCTCTGGCCCCCTGGAAGCCCCTGAGGCCGGAAGGTCCTGCCTTGCCACCACCACCCTGAGGACCTGGATCACCCTACGGAGGGAGAACATACAATCAAAGCATTAACTAAACTGACATCTGCAATCCCGTCAGGAAATCATTAAGCAGAATCACTTTCGGTGAAAACAATTAGCAGAGCGGAATCTGTAGGAATGGCAGGGGGGAGAAAAACAATTAAATGGAAATGATCTGTATGATAGAAGCTGGAATGATATCCTATTATGCGGGGAACAAAACAGGAGATTAACAAGTTAAAAAAAATAGAAGAAATGTGAAGATTTTTTACAAACAACTATCAAAATAAATGTTGAACCCATTCACACTCATTTTTACCAATAAGCGTCACTTTTGTTACAGTGGGAGTAAACAGTATACATTTTGAAGAGTTTAAGAAGCGCCTTAAAAGCTAGTTCCTATTCTCACATCTAAATAAACACAAAAAACAAAAAATGATTTATTGTAAGTTCTCATAATGCAAGATCATTTCTGCAAATGCGGCTAAAATGTAGTTGTAGTTTGAACGTCTCCGTATTACCCTTTGTTTTCCCCATAACTATTATAGGAACAAAACTGTCAAATAAAATGCGATGGGTCGGTAGAAGCGTAGGTATAAAAAGGAAATAAATACATAACAGATACCCTGCAGGAAAGATCCACTGCAGATATAAGCTACTCTGTGTACAACTTTATTTGTAATGTTTTTGCCATTATCTTTTTGCGTTTCTAACTTTGTGCTGCAATGATATCTGAATTTCTCTCTGGGGATTAATACAAGTGTCTTATCTTCACATAATACATATAACTACTAATGACTGGTGCACTTTGCTTTTGTAGCATACACAGTACATGCTCCTTTACCTTTCCGCCCTCTTTTCCAGCAGATCCAGGCAGACCTTGCTCACCAGGTGGACCTGGAGAGCCTGGGTGTCCTCGCTCTCCGCTAGGTCCTGTCTCTCCAGTCGGGCCCTGTCAGCGACAACACAGATATGTTAGGGTCAATGTGCTAATCAATGTCTCCTTGTCCTCCGTGGTATTATATAAATGCAATAACACTACTTAAGATGTGCATGATATCTCACACATACATACGTTAGCTTTCTTCAAAGTAATCAGAAGTTTTAATGAGATGGAATCATTTATTTTCAGCCCACGCTTCATTACTTTTCAAAGACAAGAGATCTCACTGAAGGCATCTAAATGTATTTTCAATGCATTCAGATTATTTCTTTGCATTGGGTATGGTTTTCACGATTCAGCTGTTGTTACAGCCGAATACTTTTATACATTTCAGCATCTCATAATTGTCCTACAACAAAAGAAAAAGTGTGGAGGAGGAATCTAACTGTAGCGCTGTACTGTGCTGTATATCTACCTGAGGTCCAACCACCCCTCCAGGTCCCGGAGGTCCCGTCTTTCCATTGAAGCCCTGAAGGAGAAAACAGATATGATGTGGACTGTACACATGAAGGGTTATATAGTACAGTATGTACTCTTTACTTTGTTTTGTCAAGATCTGAGCCATACAGAAAGTCAGTATGAGTCACGTATCACTGCCTCGTACTGACAGCAAACGTTTGTGTACATCTTTTGTTTGTCAAATAAACCCATTGTGATTTTCCCTTCTGCTAGGCATAACAGTTATATCACCTTTGCAGAGCTATCTGCATTTTTGTGATTACCCTGAATCTTTACCACTAATTTGGTTTTATTATCTACTTTTTAAAGCACCAAATATGATTTGACATCAGAAAACATGATTAGATCAAGATCTTCCAGTGGTGCAAGAAGTACATTCTTATTTCCTTTAACTGAAAGTGAACATGCAGATATACTCCTAACAATTCCTGCTAGTATCACAAACTACAACTATTATCAATACGCAGCAGAATGGCCTCTTCCAGATTATTATATACAGTGAATTATTGTTTGGGAGTAAATGTTTGTAGTAAACACGTTCTTATTAAAGCCTTAAGGACACTTAACATGTAGTTCATAATTTATCTTATTCCCAAACATTCAAATGTTACCCTCATTGAGACTGTCACGTATAACATTAAATCACTAATTAGATGTGTAAAGTATGTTGCGATTGGATATCATCAAAGGCCCTTAATCGTGGTGGTGTCATGATCAGTGATCAACAGTCAATCTTGGTTGATCATCAACTATTTACTTCTTCATTTGCTTTGACTGGTGCTTTACTTTCACACTAAGAACACAATCTGTAGGTATCTCAGTTATCCTCTTCCTTCTGTGCCTAAGTGGGGGAGTTGATGATGATGATGCATTCATGGGACAAAGTGCCCACTCACCGTCTCTCCTCTCTGTCCGGGGTGACCGGGCAGCCCATCTTTTCCTGCCGGTCCCTGGGGGAGAACAGGTAGATAGTTCATAACTATCAAGACATCAAGTCATATGTGGGTATAAATATTTGAGGAGCTAATATAAAAAGTATCAACATGGAGTTGCTAACTCAGTGACAGTTAGAGAGCGGCTGCTTACGTTTGGTCCTTTAGGTCCGGGGAAGCCGACGGGTCCCTGTGGTCCTTGAGGTCCCTTTAATGAAGACAAAACGAATAATACGAGTTAAAAGAATAACGAAAAAGAAACGCAAGACAAGTTTAAATTGGAATTGGCCATTGGCCTTTCCCATGATAACAGGGGGACATGTTGTAATGTTTTTAATATAAAAACAGTTAAGCGGATTTAGTTTGATGTAAAGTAAAGTACAAATAATGTATTCTCTTCATGTCAATTATACTTTTAACACTGAATATTGGTAATCAGCAGTCCTGTAGAGTTCGGACTTTTTTAAATTGACAAATCTCTGTAATTCACTTAAAGTCAAGATTCAAGTAGAATGCACCTGGTGTACTTTTTATTTCAAAAGCTAAATCTGTGACTTACCCTCTCTCCTGGTGGACCCCCTGCTCCATCATTGCCTGAAGTGCCCTGCGGAGAAAAAACAGGCACAGAGAGACGTCATCAAAATATAATGGTCACTGACACGTGCGCATTTATATTCCTTTATAAGTTGGTACTAAATTTGTTTTATGTTTTGATTAATCATGTTATATGTTGAACGCTCTTTGGGGAATGAAGGGGTTCATTGCGTATTTTTCTTCTTAATAGCAGGTCAATTCTTCTTCTTTCATGTACTTACTCTATACAATCTTAAGCATGCAGAGACATTTATTATTGCAGCAATATTAAGTATTATTTTTATATACAAGTGGACCTGGCTCTCACCTTTGCACCTGGCTTTCCGGTTGGTCCTCTAGCACCACGCCCACCACGTGGACCCTACATACATAGCATGCCGGTATAAACAATAAGTAATCACCAGGAAAATACATAGCATGTTCAGAAGACATAACAAAACAATAAAAACAAAACAAAAGTAATCCAATAAAAGGCAGGTCATTAATGCCTTGCCTGCCCATCTCTACAATTCACCACCCAGTCCATATCCCCTTCAAAAGCCAAGAAAATAAAGCCCATACACAACTACATTTCTCATTTGAACACAATCAATTATTTATAGGAAGGTCTCTGGCTGACTTGGCAGACAGATTATTGCATACCGTTGGGCCGCGCTGCCCTCTCGGTCCTGCTTTGCCGGCGATTCCCTGAGAAAGAAAGACAAAAGCTTTGATTTAGGACAATATCATTCTCATCATCAGCAAATATAAATACGATTTCATCTCCTTTAGAAGTAAAAGCTAAAGTTACTACAAATAGTAAACATCAGATAATGCTGGTGCTGAGGGGGTTTGAGTGAGGGAGAACCATCTGAGCATTTTTGGACAAAAATAAATAATCAAATTGCTGCGGTAAGTGTTTACCCACAGGCACTTGACAGCTTAAACTACCTGTCAGCTGTAGCACACGGGGGCCATGGGTGTCTGCCTCTCAATGTCTGTCAAAGACTTGGCTCTTTAATAATAACCCTTCCCACCATTCTGCAACGCTCCATCTCACCCCTCCATCTGTGACGCATCTCAACTGAAACCATCTGCACTTACACAGCTGGATACAGTAGTCTGTCTTTCCTTGAGTGCCAGATCCTAATTGAATACAAGGTCGAAGTATGTGGACACTCCTGTTTTGTATGTTTTGTCAGGGGTAGTTATCTGTGTTTTGGGCTACAGCCATTAGTCCCAATAAAGGGAAATCTCTTTATTGTTTCCACGTGACAAAGTCAAGTACATTGAGAGATGGTTTTGAGGGTTTAAGAACATGACTCTCCTGCAAAGAGCCCTGAATTCAAAACTATCCGACCCTTTTGGGATGAACCGGGACAAGAGGCTGTATCGCCCTCTACCAATAACTGACCTCACAAAGACTCCAAAGGCTGAATGGGAACAAATCAAATATTTTTACTGGTATTGTTTTCATATCTTGAAGTTTTGTTAACTGATTGGATCGTTTTTCTTATCATTTTGTGCGCTTTTCGTCATAAGTTTTCAAATGTATGTTAGTTTTCCAATCTGTGTTATGGCTTTTCTTTCAGCTTAAGTTAAGAGGAGATCCTTTGTAGTGTAAAAGCTTCAGGCTTTTTAACCTTTACTGTTTTACAGTTTTACATGTGTGCAAATCAAAGTAAAATAACTGATGGATAAATCTCTTGAAGCAAGTTTGGGATTTGTGTCATGGAGCTATATACATTTATAGTGATTTGAAGTTTTAGGTCCATTTCTATTTGATGTGTCTGCTAGCCTTAAGGTCTCTGTAGTCTCAGACACTAACCATCCAGTTTCCGTATTCTACACTCTCTAATATTAATGTGCTACCCAGGAAAACCCACAGAGACCAAGAGTGTAGTATGTGTGTCTAATAGGTGAGAGAATTATTAATTTTGAGGCTCACCCTTCCTCCCTTCTCTCCATTCGCCCCTGGGAATCCAGGGAATCCGTTGGAGCCCTGCAAAGGAAAGAAGTGACAGAGAGGAGAAATACATTAGAGAAGTTCAGGGTATACATTTAAGATGTCTACCTTAGTCTGTGTCAAGCAGCAACGGGACAGACTCTGGGTGTTTCTCAATCTCGAGGACGCTTGCTTGGTAGCACATGTCTTCCGAGCGTCTTGCTTCAGCAGCGAGGCAAGGATACTTCCTAGCATTCGGAAAACAAAGAGTGGAACAGGCTAGCAAGTGTGCAGGTGTGCATCATATGAGAGGCCCCGCCTTACATTTTCCACCACTGTTTTGAGGAAATTGGTCCGTGCGCAAAGCATTGTGGGGATTTTAAGACCGCGGAGTCTCTACACATGTGCAGCCTCGAAATGTCTCGCTACGAAGTACGCCGGGCTCGGTAGAATTCCAAGTATGCTGGACATTGGAACAGTACTTCGGCGGCACTCGATGACGTAGTATGCTTGAAATAGTGGCTCTGCAGCAGCTTTACTCGACATTGAGAAACACCCTCTGAAGAGAAAACTATTCATTGTTCTTTTCTGACCAAGTCTCATTAAAAAAGAAACTGTGAACTCCTAAAACTACTACTTTCATTTTCATGGTCAGCAGATTCCTATCATCGAACAAACGTTTATGGGTTAGGATTTCCCATAGAAACAAATGATCGTCTTTTACTGCTTAAGATGAGCCCATAGGGAACGTCTCCTCCTCCCCTCTGTCTGTCACACGGACAGATAGAGGGGCTGGGGGGTTGTTAGCACAGGTAGGAAGCAAAATAGGAAGATAGGAAAAGGCGTGGGAGCAAATAAAGTCAAAGGAAGGGAAAACAGCAGATTCCCCTTGATACCCATCAGCAATTTAGTTATTAGACTTTCACAGGCTGCGCCCTCTGATAGCAGCGATGGTGCCAGTCAAACAAATACCAGGAGGGCATTCACCGTGGAATGATAAGAGGAGCAGCGGGCCCTTTATGCAGCATTAGGTAGCATAAATATGTATTCAACCAATTTAGGTTAAACATTTCTTTCACTCAGCTTCACTGCAAGGTCATGAGTGTTTATACATTTAAAAAACACTTTGATGCAATGCACATCTAAAGTACTCATTACTGTACACATGCATATTAATATAAGGGGCGTAATACTGTTCAGTATAAGCATGGCAGCGTGGGTAGCATTGCAAGAGGTAAACAGCCCAACATTTGGGAGATAGCAAGAAGGGACATCTATACTGCTTAATTTGTATTTCACAGAGGTGGGGTTATGTAAATACCATCAAACTATATGCAATGTGTGCTATATGTGCAATATATACATTATTATATACATATGCCATTCATAACTGTAATATATACCTGGCTGCTAAATCCTAAGAACTGTTACAGGATTTGTATTTTGAAAAGTATTTTTTTTTAACTTTTATTTGTTTTATTATATTTTTTATTAATACTTTTTTTTAACATATGTAACATTAAGCTGTCTGTGGCTCTTTCCTGCTGTAACGATGCAAATGTCCCCTCTGTGGGACTGATAAAGGTATTCTGATTCTGATGATCAACTGAAAGGGAGGGCTGGTTCTGGACAAGCCTGACTTGCGCCAGAGAGATAAGACAGGCAGGAAACTATTGCAAATGGCGCCCAGAATTAACGGTGTGGGAAAGTTGTCAACAGAGAGTGATGGGGCGCAGCGGCCAAACACACAGCCAGCGGAGGGATTCATGCCCCGGCTGATGGAGGGCGATAAAGGCTGCGGATGGGCCAGGACTTTGACCCTGAACATACCCTTGAGGACGATGTGACATTTTATAAAGTTCTACGCTATGAATCCAGAAAGAAGTATGAAAGAAAGAAAGAAAAAGCTCCTAAAAGTGTCCAGACAGTTTTGAGTCACACATAAAGTGAAGTATCTTTTTAATGTTAGGGGATTTGGTTTGTAAAATAATCCTCATTATAAGTTTGGAACGACAGCTTTTTCAGAGTTTGGAACGGGCGTCACAAGTGTATTTTTCTTACAGTAAAAGAAACATATTAAAAGCGGGCTAAAAAGAGGAAATTATTGCAGATACTCAGATTGATAACGTAGCATTGCAAAGTAGATCATCAATGTAGCAAATTTAAATTCTGGTAAAACGACTGGAATGACTTTTTTCATGCTTTCTCTACGTGTGGTTACAAACATCACAATCATGCCTTTCTGAGATCCTCACTGTGTTTTCTGTGATGTTTAATGAACATGCCTATTTATTATATAAAACATCAATCAGCACATAATTACTTAAATCTTATGAATACATTCAGTAAAACTTCCAACAATGTGACAAAGAGTTCTTTGAAGAAAGTTTTTATGATGATGATAGAGCCCTTGGTTTATAAAAGATTCATACGTTTTTGGAGACAGTTTTAGTTTAGAGTGGGTGTCACAAGTCTATTTTTCTTTCAGAAAATTCTTCAGGCACAGGCTATAGAGAAAGAAAAGATGGCAGTGTTTATACAATGCCAAGGACAGCAGGCCTTACGGCCCGTCCACACTACAGCTTCGACAGCTTCAAAAACGGTTTCCAACGCTTTTGCCCATTCACTTTGAATGGGGTGACGTCACTTTTCGCCGAACTGCATTGTGGGAAGCAGAGCGGAGCTTTCCTGGCATTTCAGGCTGCAAAAGTTGAGCAATGTTCAACTTTTGAAGCTTCTGAAGCTTTCGGTGGAAGCGTCAGCCAATCAAATCATATGCCAGTACAAGCTCTAGCCAATCAAACCGCTGCTTGTGTGTCAGGGGCGGGAGATTCATGTGATTGGTTGTTGGTCGAGCTTCAGACAAGCCCAGCTCCAAGCTTTTTTTGAAGCTGTAGTGTGGACGAGCCGTTATTGTCTCAAAAAGAAGATCCTATCCCGCGCTCCACTGGGAACATTTGTGGGTAGCCTTTGTTTAAAAGTATTGATGGATACAAACAAAGAAATACCCTTAGTGGATATTTGTCACTTAATGGTAAAAACACAAATTAAAATAAGTCATTGCAAATTACCGGAGATTAATTAACTTCTATTTATTTCCCTCTCCCCCTTGGCGTAATTTGTCCAGCTCTGTTATTTGTGTGCCAGCTCAGATCCCGCTGACATTTACAGACGCGGCCAGAGACCTGGCTGTGGATGTTGTGAGCGGAGGTGTATCTGACCCGTCATATCAATGCCAAGCTGTCAGAGCTGACAGCAGCAGCAGAGGAAGCAGCTGCAGCAGCACATCTCCATAGTGGATCCGTGGCACAGCGGTCAGCGCTACAGAGCACGAGAGCCAGACTGTTGGATAATGCCTGGGAGAGTTTAAGGAGGGAGGACAGCTGATGACTCCAGCAGGTGACCATGCCACTTAGGCTTCCTGAATTAGAGTTGCGGTGAGAGCAAAGTAGTTGTCTCCTTGGGTTTGTGTTTGTGTGAGTAAGGGTTAGTCTGAAGATTGCAGAAAGGCAAAGGAGAGCAAGTTTGGATAGGAGTGGATCATGATCTGACAGACAGTATACACATGCACATCTACTGTATATAGAGATATGCATTATGTACACATATGGGCATAATACCTTCACACTGAAAAGCCAGTGAAGTAAGGGGAAAACAGAAACAGAGTGGTGCAAGAATGAGTCAGAAAACCTGGGAATTTTAAGCATTTTACAACTTTGGACTCCCACGTCTCGAAGATGCTTTTTGACGTTCTTTTGTTTAGATGACTGAAATATTAGATATGTAGATTCAAGTATTGTTGTACGACATAAATTACATCAGTATTGGCTGAACAAAACGTGTAAGTAACATAAACGCTTGCTCGCCACAGAGAAAAATCTCATTGTTTTTGTCAAGTGACCCTTTAGTGATATAAACTTCCGGCTGTGCCTAAAAAAAGGACGTCCTTTCTGCACCACTCTATTGTCCTTCAACTGTTCACACTACTAGGGTGGGAAATGTCTTCTTTGTTGATCTTTCCTTGATGAAGACACAGAACACAAACAGATCCCTGATCTCTGAAGAGGAGGCATGCACAGTAAGAATTCCTGTGCATTGATCAGAAGATTATAACTCTTGTCACACACCTTGGGGCCTAGTCGACCAGGGTATCCAGGTAATCCAGGGACTCCAAGTTTTCCCTAAAAAGGAGCACAAAACAAAGACGATGAATATTCATTGTGTCACCAGAGATGTCGTTTGGGAGACTGCAGTAAAGTTCACAGAAGCATTACGAAAAGCAATAAACTTCAAACCATAACGTTTTATTTCTTTTGTGGGAACATTTTTAATACCACGTTTATGGACATGACATCATCCATGGAGAGGCTTTCCTGCTTCACGCCCAAAAGTGGATTCACTTTGGTCATGACGGTTTATGGTCATAAAGAGGTACATGGAATATGATGTAACTATGTTTGCTTTTAAGCTAAGGTCAAGTATTTATAGTTTTTATTATGAATCCAATACTTCTGACTGTTAGTTCATAATTAACTGCAATGTTGCACTAATTTAAATCAAACTAGGATGAGGATGTCAGCAAAGCGTTAAATGAATTATTCATATATCCAAAGTAGCATTGCAAAGTAGATCATCTGTGAGGCAAATGGTGATTTTAATTTGAGTAAATTGAAAGCTTGTTGATGAAACTTCCTTTTTGTATTCATTTCTAATTATTTTGAGAATTTTCTATCCGGCGAATTAAATCACAATGAATCAGTTCTGAGATCGTAACTGTGTTTTTCTATTAAGTCATTTAAACCAGGGGTTCCCAACCTTTATTGTGCCAAGGACCGGCAGATACATTAAAAAAAATTCGCGGACCGATTGTCAATTTGAACTGATTTTAATATTTACTCACCAGCAGGTGGCAACAGAGGCTAATTGTATTTAACAGCCTGAAGAAATACCAATATGCATCCAAAACATATTAACAACGTTTAAAACCAGGATACAATTCAAACAAAAAATTAGGACCGCTTTACAAATATTAATATAATATAATATAGCCTAATATAGGTGGCAACAGTGGCTAATTGTATGTAACAGCCTGAACAAATAATAGAACAATATGCATCCAAAACATATTAATAAAGTTTAAAACCAGGATACAATTAAAACAAATTAGGACCACTGTACACATATTGATATAACTGAAATGTCAGTGAGACCCCTGGGCTTGTTTGCCAGCCATAATAACGTCATACCGGGGCGTTCGTTCCGGTGCACTCCGACAGCATTTAGCACTACATCGAGATTAAGATTAAACTAACTTCTTTTAATTTGGGAACACCCACATACCTATGGAGTTGGTCAGATGTGTGTAAATTACTGTTCATGGTAATTTGAAAACAAATGCCATTGTTGGACACACACAAACACACCGAACATACACACACATAGTGGAGCAGAGCACATACACACACACATCATACGCAATGTCCTTAAAATGAAGTCAGAGTTCGAAATATATCTCAAATAATGTATGCACTCCCCACATAAACATAACAGTCTGCGATGAAACGGTTGTCTCCTGTGTGCTCCACTTCCTATTGGCGCACCGGTAACTTTCTCTGCGCACGAGAGGCTGAGACCTTATGTTGACCAATTTTGATTTATCTGGTATGTTTTGGATGAAATAATATGACTGGTATAGGTACGGAAAAAAAAAAAAAATTAAAATAAATATTTTTATATATTTATAATTCTGCAAATATTACGATGGGGGTTGGGAACCCCTGATTTAAACCACAACATTGATTTGACAAGCGTATTTACTGTATAAGAAAACAGTCTATTGGTTTTACAGTATTTATTATTTTTCTTTAAATTGATATATTGTTTTTGAATCTGCAAAAAAACTTGGTGTAACATTTGATACTTCTTTGTCAGAGTATAAATCCTGCAGCAAGTTACAGAAAGATCAAAGCTCCATGGAAAAATAGTGAGCATAACCCAACTAAATGGGACTGTTGTAAGATTGAAGGGAGGTGGAGAAAATCTAAACTTCATTGTGATCAAAACAGCTACAAAACTATAGCAAAAAACACAGTTCAGACTTCTCTCTCTCTAGTTCATTAAAGGCATCTGTTATTAGACCTATATCACCCTGTGGGAAAATAAACATCTAAACAATGGTTTGGTTTTGATCCCACAAAAGCACTGACACAGACTTTTATTCCTACTATTCACACATGATATTCACATATGAATGTGTTAACCTTATCATCTTGCAAAGCATTTTGATTGCATCTTGGTGTAATTAATTTATGCGAACAAACTGGAACTTCAATATTTCAATAATACATATTTATCAAAATAAAAAACTACAGTTTTACGATTCAGTCTTCGCAGTAGCAGATTATTTACCTTCTCTCCACCTGTTCCCAAAGGACCGGACTCTCCGTTTGGTCCTGATGTTCCCTTGGGGCCCTCGGGGCCATCCTCTCCTCTGACTCCCAATACACCATTCTCACCCTTAATGCATAGAAAACAAATGTTAACAGTACATTATATTAGCTACCCTATCACACGCACTTATGAACCTGCAAACATCAGTATTCAGTTTTGATATGAGGACTCACCTTGTCACCCTTGAGACCCATGTCGCCTTTGAAGCCGGGGAACCCATCTTCTCCCTGAAGATGAGAGAGATAAAAAGCTGTTTCATCAAGAGCTGAGAGTGTTATCAATAAAGCAAAACACAGATACAGTCCATAAGGTAGAAGTGCAAAATAGCAAACAAGCCTGAAGATAACTGATGGACCACTTAAAAAGTCATAGTGAAACTTATGTATGGCAGTTTATTAGCACTATATGCAAAAGTAGAAGGGTGCCTTCAGATAGCTTAACACTGACACCTAGTGGCCACTTTAATGAAGCATTCCCAGAAGCCGTTTTTTAAGTCTCTCTTTCTGTCTGTGGTTCTCCTGACATCTGGTGGCTAAACATCAGAATGCAGTTGTAAACATATCCAAGGCACTGCTGTCATTGTTTTATGATGGCTGAGATCACTACGTTACATATACTAATGCCAATATTCTGACATATTTTCATACATTATACGACCAAGAAAATAAATCTTGACACAATAAAATATGATGAGTATATAACCTCATGTAGGACTTGGGACTAGTAACATACTTCCCAGTTGTTTTCTATGTGTGACTAAAGTATCAAAGCAGAGGTTTTAACGACATGTTTACTGCTTTTTGGTAATCTCTGAAGAGTTTCAATTTCCTGACAACTGACTGAAATAAATCTATCCATTGGCACAGCGGTAGAAACTAAATTCTACAACAGCAATTCAAGAAAACAATGGTGACAGATCATATCCAGAGAAACTGCCCTACAAATAGCCTCATTCTAGTTTAAATGTACACACTATTTCAGCTTAGTGGCAGGAAGACTTCACTGCCAGCATGATGGGCCCTTAGGAGCTTTTTACACTAACTAGAATGCAGGGAAACCTCATTTTACAGGGAATTGTAGCTGTTATGGGTCCATTCTCCTGGAAAGACATCTGTCAATCATTGTGAGGGAGGAAGCTGGAGAGATGTTTACCTTTTCTCCTTTGCCCCCTTTAAGGCCTCTAATTCCCTCAGCACCCTGGGGAGAGAGAACAAGAGTCAGGATGAGAATTCAGGGGAAAAGAAAACGAATAATGGAAAGGTGGTCGTATGACTAAGATAGTGCTTACTTTCACACCGCGAGGCCCAGGGTAGCCGATGGATCCCAAAGGACCATTGAAACCCTAAAGGATTGTAAAGAGTGTGATGTGATTGGTGAAGAGCATTGCAAACGCATGTTACTGTATTTTTGCTGAATTAGAGAATTTAGAGATACTTTATCATTAAATTACAATTGATTTGATGTAACAATAACCCTCAAGAAGCAATTGGGCAAAGTAATGCACATTAAAACAAGACAATGTAAAACCAAGTTAATTAGACAGCAACACCTACTGTTATATCCACTAGTCTAAACCTACATGTTTGTAAAAACCAAATAACCACTTAAATCTAGCCATCATTATTTTATAAAACACAAAAGTATCAATGTATTTTATATTATAATTCTCTTTAATCCTACTCTATATAAAGCATTTTACGATATGTTATAACCAGGCAATCCCAGAAAGTCCCCAGATTAGCGGTTCACTGGAAATAATGAACACAATAGGCCAATTTAGTGTATTCTATTTCTGAGGCAATTGACCAGATATCATCTTAAGTGTGTGGTTATATTAAACCTCGCCCTAATGGCACACTTGCAGGCTAAACAAATGCTACATTTAATTATTTCCAAAGTCAGCCTCACCCAATCTTTTCCCCTTGTGCTTTAATGAATCCTTAAAACAACATACATTATATACTTCTTAATAGAAATCTAAATGAACATCTTAACATTATACTTACAGCTGCTCCTTTCTCGCCTGCAGGACCTTCTTTACCGGGGTGACCCTGTAAAATGATTACGTTTAGCAGCATTGTGTCAATTGGTTTTGAATGACTTCAAAAGTCAGGCGTGTTACTTACAGGAGGGCCATCAGCACCAGAAAGGCCACCCAAACCTAGTTTCCCTTGAGGTCCCTATAAATAAAAAGCAATAAAAAAGACGTTTAACAGATAGAAGATGGATGAGTGTATACCTTAACAGTTTTATGAAGACTGCCAACGGTTTAGATGCTTGAAATCTTATTATATAGCCGCAAAACCACAAATACATTACTTTCAGTTAGGCAGAATAAGTGCTTATGCAGAAGACCTATTGGTAATATGTATATAGTGTGTGCGTGTGTCTATCCTTGTGTGTGTTTCCTGCTTTAGAGAAGCCAGTAAGTTAAGTGTATCTGTAGAATCACTTATGTCTGAAACAATCACTTATCGGTGCAGCAGAGTTGTGGTGGGAGGACATGAGGGGCGACTGGGTTCACTTTATACTCACTTTTTCACCAGGAGGCCCAATCGGACCTTGAGGACCACCAAGACCCTGAAAAACAATCGATAAAAGTCTGTTATCAGAACATTCAGCCACATTTTTGTTTTTTTACATAATCTGGTTTACGTCAGACTGATACAGATTGAAATGGAAAAAGAACACCTGTTTTGTCAATTTGGGAAAGTCAATTCCAATTTGAATGGTGTGCTGTATTTATAATTTTCTTATTTTGTAATCTATGTCTACTTCCTTCTTTAATTCAAACCATTTGTTTTTGTCAGTCAGGTTCTTGCTGCTTATTCCGATGAGCAGCTGTGGAAGGGGAGGTTCACTTTTCCACAGTCACTTTAAAGTCACACACTGTTCTTGAAAATTCACAATTTCACACCATGAAGAATAAAGAAAAGTTAAAATGAGCAAACTGTGTTATTTTTCTACAGGCCAATGCTTTCTCTGAAAGGCATCAAGCTGTCTCCGGCCAGCTTTAAGTAAAACAAAGTTATTTATTCAACCCGTATACCATCAGAATAGGTCCCTACTAATGATTTCCAGAGGAATAACACCATCCTGTCCAGGCTCTGTGCGTCAGCGGGACTGAAAGTCTTACCTGGCAATGATCGTTAAGCCCTGGCTACATTATTGGGAGGACTGTTTTGTATTAAAGATGACTCCAAAGTGGAATACTGTGCCCCCAATTGGAAGGTAATAGGGTTACATGCTGTCAAATGAATACAATATGTCTCATCTCAACTGGAGGTTGACTGCAGAGAAACCATATTAGTGAACACTTGTAAAGTATTTTCTTTATTTTGGTGTCAGTTTTGTGAAATTCCAGATGTAGTGGCAAGAACTTAAGGAATGAAGGATGGAGAGAAAGAAGAAAAAGGGAAGTAGAGCAAAATAAAAATATAACTCAACAGGAGTGAGAGTGATCATCTGAGTTCATAATATTCCCTTGTTGCACAATGGATATGGCAACAAGTGTGTAGCATGAAAAGGACAGACTGAGGCAGAGAGCAGAGGGGAGATGACAAGAGAGGAACTGAGACATTGAGCAGATGGGGACAAAAGAGGAAAGAGAGCAATAAGACAGGGTTTAAATAAATAGAGAGAATACACTTACATGTGGACCAGGATTACCCTGCTGCCCAGGAGGCCCCGGCTCTCCTTGTGGACCCTGTGCAAAACAAAGACAAATAAGAGGATGCATTTAATACTTCCAAGAACTTCCATTTGATCAATTCGATTGTATGTTTTTATTTGCACAATTATTAAAACAGAAAGAATATTGTCAACAAACTCAGATAATCTTGTTGAATACAGTCAAACACTAAATTAACGTTTCTATAAGGGCAATAAAAGGGAGACCTTAAACAGTCGTTGTGTGTCTTTTGTTGTTTTTCAAAACGGTGATACCATGTTTAAGAAGACTTTGGATAGCTTAGATAGATTGGTTGAATTGGCTTTATCCAATCTGTGTCAAGAATTTCAAACAAAAGGAACAACTGGTGGGCAGATACATGATGCACTCGCCCCTGGGGAAAGCTGTCGGTTTCCTTACATTAACCAAAGTGTTTGGCTCTGAAATACAGCTTTCTGTAAATACATGCTGTGGGCCTACAGAGCCATCTGGGTATGGATTCATGTTTTACGATAGAAACTGGAATGGTAGGTTGTTTGGTATCTCTATTGAGAATTAGTGTCTCACAAACCAAACACACACAACAACAGACAAGACCTTTGTGCAGCAGTGTTCTCCAGCTGTTACAACAAACACCAAATACAAAAGCTTGATTCAGAGGCGTTTAGGTTCCCTGACTGAGATTGTTGGCAGGGCCTTGGATGCCAAATGCAAAGTCAGCAATAGTCTGATAGTGAGTTAAAACATGTTGGTTCTTGTATTTAAAACATTCATATGTGAGCATTTATAAACCCATTTGGGAAGCTTTACTACTGTGGATACTTTTGAGTGTACTGCTTTGATGTTTTTATTAGAAATTGTAGAAATCAATACTAGCTCTAATGAGAAGCACAAGTTATTCCCAATGTGTTTTTGTCTCTGAAACAGCTGCTTAATTCCTCAGTGCAATGACTCAATGACCACAGACAACGTAGGGGCTTGTGCAGCTGTCTTGACCAATGATATGTTACCCTTATTCATACGTCCCACTGAGACCCTCCAGGAAGCTGAACGCATGACGGAACCACGCACAGACACACTTCCTGTTTCACCCCTTACTAAAGCTTGAGGTATCTCCATTATAGTGTTAGTCAGCAGGCTTTGTTGTTTAAGGAAAAGGTCGGACAACTCTGATGAGACACCTCCGTCTCCATCTACCATCTCTAATCAGAAAATTACCTATGGTCTCCTACACAGAGTGAAAGGTCACTGACCTGCAATCGGCCTCCAGTAGGCCAAATTACACACAGATTGCTCAGGTGGTCCTCACAAATATGTGCAGGAAGACTTCCTTTCTAACAATCAGAGCTCATCCTCTCCCTGATAAATATACAAAAATGTTTCTCACCATGTTTCCTTTGGGACCAGATTGACCATCAGGACCAGAAAGACCCTAAAGAGATTAGAAATGTAACATTAGAACTCACCATCATTGAGAAACAAATGATGAGTAGTTTGAGAATTAGGTGATAAAGAGGTGTTACTTACACGCTGCCCACCAGTACCCGCAGACCCTCTGGGGCCGAGCAAACCTCGAGGACCCTGTATATAAAAGACAAACACAGATTTAATAAATATAATTAAAATAAGACTTTGACATATATTCAATCATGTTAGTTTTCTATGACTGTGATTTGTATTTTAAAATATGCTGACAATAAAACACTGGTTTAAATGTGTGAAACACTGACCCCTTGTGGCCATATATAGCAACTACAGGTTTATTTAATGAGTAAGCATGAAAGCTGTTTCTTATCCAAACATCTTAAGTGTGTGTGTGTGTGTGTGTGTGTGTGTGTGTGTGTGTGTGTGTGTGTGTGTGTGTGTGTGTGTGTGTGTGTGTGTGTGATGAAATCCCGTGCATCTATTTCTTAAAGTGTACAATGTTGTTTGGGGTATGACAGGAAGCAGCCATTTTTCATGCAGCTCTATGGTCCATTTGAACTGAACCAGGCAGTATGGCAGTCTCTCACTGGCAATGACTGATAAACACATTTCCCGGTTCTATTTTCTGATCTATTATTTAAAGCATTTCTGTCCACTGAGATCAAAATTCCAAACCAAATGGTCCTTGCAGACAGGAATGTTGTTACAGTTGCAAGAGGAGAGGATGGTGAGGCTGTGTGTTTAAATAATTGCCAACAATTAATGTAGAGGATGGAATTAAGGGATGAGGCCTGTAGTAGCAAAGTAGGGGGAGTAACATAGTGGTCAAATGGTCATCATATTCTTATTTTGTCTGGATTTAACAAGGTACAGTTTAGCAACTCTGTGCAATTCTGTGTTCAGATAATATTAAAACCACTTACACTCTCTCCAGCCACACCTCTCTGTCCAACCTGGCCATCTTCACCCTTTGGATAGAAAGAGAAAGAGTGTGTTATCTAGGAATGCATTTACATTTTGAGTGTCGGCTATATGGTGACTGATGTACTACTTACTCTCTGGCCATCGTCTCCTGGAGAGCCTGGAGGACCTGAAGAGCCGAGCTCTCCCTGTAAAGAAAAGATCACAGAAGACGCAAATCAACAAAGGGTCGGATGTAACAAGAGAGTCCACAAGCTTGAACTCTTCAGCTGAGCAAGAGAAAAAGGTTTTATTTAAAACATGTAATATGGGGGTCAAAAGATGGAGAAACAATGTTTAAAAGTAAAAGAGAGAGCAACAAAAATGGCTACAAACGTGCCTTTAATCTACACTTCACCACAATTGGCATGGACCTATATGGTTTCAACTATTCATAGTGCTCTATAGGGCTCGCCTCCCTTTTAGTAGCCCTGTAATTACTTAGTATAGAATAAGGCATGAAAGCCTGTCTAGAAATACCCATCTGTGATCTCTATCCTCTCTCCGAAAGCCCAAATTCCCAACACATCAAACTCAGCCCTCCTCATGCGCCTCCGGGCTGGTTAAATGCAGCCCAAGTGGATCTGGAGTCGGTCCCACCTTCATACTGTAAGTGGGTCAGACGCACGCCCTAATGAGTCATTCGGGTTCAGAAGTCATCTGTCACCACTGGAGTGTACATGAGATGGATGGGAGGAGGCCCTGATTCTGATGTTAAGCACAGGCTACAGATTGGAAATGACTGAGATCAAAGCAGTTTTGTTTTAGATCCTACAGTCTCTTATTTGTTGGAGACAGTTAAAGTCTGTAACAGTGTTTGACCTCTGACTGTTCATTCAACAAACTCAAAATCTGTCTCCTCATACTTACTCTATGCCCCTTTTCTCCAGGAAGACCAGGGAGGCCGTCGAAACCTCTGTCGCCCTGAAACAGCAAAGTTAACAACCGTTAGCTCAATCTATCAGGACCTTTTCAGATGCATCCAACAGACACTCACTGGTTTATTGAAAAGCATGATGTGTGCTTTACCTTGCCGCCTCCCTCTCCTGGCATTCCTCGGGCACCATCGACTCCGTTACGGCCCTGGAGGACACACAGATATCATGACATGTTATATGGGAATCACGTTGAAAACATATTTAATTATCTTTGATGGTTTTGGAGAAAAGCTCCTTTTTCAAACTTGTTTATAGTTAGATAAACATGACTTTATGAATTTACACAACACGTACTGTAGAGGCGGTTATTGAATGCAGCTGACTTATTTCAAATACAGCCATGTTTGAAACTAGGCTCCTCTCTTTGGGCACTGATTCTTGCACACTTATTGGCATGGAATATTAGAAATGTGCACATTTAAGCAAAACCTTCTGTGCTGGAGAATAAAATAAGCAATAAAGTGTAAAGACAGCCAGGTTAGAAAGAACCCTTACCCTCTTTCCTGCTTTCCCTGTAGGACCAGTTGAACCCTGAAGACCTCTGGGTCCCTATAGGGAAAACAAAGAAAAATGTGTTATAAAACATTAACATTGAAAACTTTTGTTACAGATATGTAAAATGAAATTTTTTTAAAATCTGCCTATTGTACAAAGCAAGGAGTTAAACCAATGTTTAAATATTTCCCTTGTATCATAAAATAAAACTCAACTCACCTGTGGTCCGGAGTCACCACCGTCACCTTTAAATCCGTTAGAACCAGGACCTCCCTATTAAAAATGATAAACAAACAGACAGAATTAATTAATTATTTCGGCTGAAAAAAACTAAATCCTTTAGATCCCACCAAAGAAATGGCAAAAGTAAAAAAAAATCCAGTTATACAAGCAGGAAGAGGATGGCATCTGTAATAGTATGTGTATGTATTTGTGTGTTTAAGGACATTTACAAACGATTGGTTGAATATTTCACAGGAAGAAGCCTTGATTGCCAAAATGTGTACTTTCATCAACGGTGCAACAAATGGGTGCAACAGGAAGTAAATCAAGATGTGTATGTGATTATGTGTGGACAGTTTTTCCAAATGTACTCACCACAGGTCCGTTCCTTCCTGTCATGCCCGCTGGCCCCGAAGGTCCTCTCATGGCAAGCTGGGGATCACACAGAAACAGCCCATAAACATCAGGTCAGCTAACAGTGTTGACACTCTGCCAAATGACGACCTGTCTACACCAATTTAATGATTTAGAAAACGATATTTGCGCCTCTATTAAAAGGAATTGGGAAAATATATGTTTTTGAATTAGTCGTGCAGCCTTGACTGCATAGTATAACTTTCTATTTGCAGTTAGTTTATTAGCATCCATTGAAGTTAATTACTGAGGAGATACTTTTTATATATTGAAACCACTCAAAATAAATTGGCTTTATTTCTCAAAATGAAGACAAAGTACAAATGATTTATTGGATTATTTTTAAACCACAAAATGAATCTGCTATGGAGGTTAACATGCTATGTAGTTCCTGTACTACAGTTGGAATTGAAACTGACACGTCATTTACTCAACTGGGCTTGAAACCAAAAGGAGTAACAAATAAAGAAAATAAAACACTAATAAAAAGACAATTTAGCCTCAGTATATTATATGCAAGCTTTACTTAGTTCTTGTTCAGGGTTTACCACTGAGCTTTTTTCCTGCTCATGGGCGACCACAGTCCTGGCCTGCCAAAACACTTGTCTGGGATTACTAAAGGAGCATTTGCTAATTCAAGGGAAAGCACTTCATGCCCCGATTACACTTAAGGCCAACTTCCATTCAGTTAGTTATTTGCATTGTGGCAGGTGTGAGGTGACATTTCCGGAGTGCAAATAGGTAAAAGTGAATTCAACATGTCAACAATGTGTTCCTTCAATTCCCTTTTAATATGACGTCTCCTGCCATGTTTTTTTAACTTCTTCCTGCTTCGGGGTCAAACCACTGGCAAACAAGACAAATATAGAAAGAGTAACAAGTGCTTTCAAGGCATGACCAAATGCTGTTTCACCATTTTGGCCGCCCTCCAGCTCGATAGAGTGTTGTGAATGTGTGAATATTCAGAGTTTGTGTAACATTTAATGATCTCCATGTGTTCTACTATAGATCACACCTTGCTTACAGCCGCTTTATTCAGTCTGTTTTTCAAGAGTGCTATGGCTATCAGGACCCCTGGGGGAGCGTGAACATCTGGTGTGACTTTATATACTACCTAACCTGACACAGGTCCATATTTTGGAATGTAGAACATTTATAGGATGAGTGGGACTTGCGAATGTTGATTCGTCCTTTCATTTTTTACTACACTTTCTGGGCCATTTTGAATGTTTCTTTTATACACTTTTCTCTTTTTAATATACCACAGTATTTTCCTATTAATTAAAAGCTTTGTTTTTAAACCAAGGCACAGAGACTCATAGTAAAGTGTTCTTTAAACTGAGAAGGATGCACTTGGGGCGTACTTACCCTGGCCTGAGACAGGATAGCCTGAGCCTGAGCTTCCTGGGCTGAAACCACAGGTCCCTTGTGCGACTCACCACCCGCACGGAACTGTGAAGCACAAAACAAAACAAAAAACACAATTAAAAGCAAATTGACTTGTCTCCCTTTACAGAGTGAGACTTATTATGGTCTCCCCTGGTGAGTGTGTGTTCAAATCATTTTCCTTTTTTTTTGTAAACCTGTAAAGCTGTCACCATGCCACACACGCACATACATATGCTGACATATGAGCACGGGCAGCTCACACACACCACACACACACACACACACACACACACACACACACACACACACACACACACACACACACACACACACACACACACACACACACACACACACACACACACACACACACACACACACACACACACCACACACACACACACACACACACACACACACACACACACACACACACACACACACACACACACACACACACACACACACACACACACACACACACACACACACACACACACACACACACACACACACACACACACACACACACACACACACACACAGAGACAGACAGACAGACAGAAATATGTGTCACCAAGCTTTCCAAAGCCTCAGTCACTGGTTCCACTCCATCGCAATGGCTGACATTTACAAGGTAAGTGATTTGTAACCCAAAGAAAATAAGGTTGTGGTCCTTTGGCCTGCTGGTGATGCTATGAGGTAAACTCACTAAATGAAATGAGTCCACGGGCTAGTGCCTCAGATGAAGGGTGTATAGCATGTGAGAAGGAATAAGACAGACAGCCTTGTGGGCATGTGAAGGTGGCATGACTTACTGGAAGCATCAGAATGGTACCTGGAGGCCCCGGGACACCGTCTGAACCGGGCAGACCAGAACGCCCTGGAGGACCCTAAAGAACCAGAGGAGGGACAGAGAGTTGGTTTTTATTATAGGTACAAAGTCAGGTCTCCTGTGTTATTTGAATTCTGTTAGTCTCAAGTATTCTTATTAATCAGAAAGTAATGTGTTGCTCTGTTAATGAACCGGTAGGGGGGTGATTGTTGTTTTTATTTGGTTTGTAAAGCACCTTTTGTGTATGAAATGTGCTAAATAAATAAAGTTTGATTGATTGTGAAAATGTAATGCAGTTGGAGCTGAGTTAATTAACCAAACCAAAGTATTTAAAATTCCCATTAACTGAGAAAACACTATTCAAAGTATTGTTTCTAACAATCTCATTCTTAAAAATAAATAACATTTATAAAAAAATATGTCAGGCCACCTTTATTAAAGTGACACTGTTGAAAGGAGGAGACAGAGGGAATGACACCTGGCAAATGGTACCAGGCCTAATTAAAACCCTGTTTCTCCACACAGGGACCAAGCCACTGTTTATGGGTCACAAGCTCTACCAAGTGTTCTGCTGAAAGTCTTGAATTTGAATAATCAGCTATTGTTTTGTTGACGTGTATACCAGTGTGTAACATTGAAAGAAAAAATTAATTAGATGTAGCTAATGATGAGCAAGCCGTATTATTAGATAACATGATTATGCTATTTTTCTATAATCCCTTGGAGGGTTTCCAGCTCGGCAAATTGAAAATAAGAAATCAGTATAGCAACAACAGTAACAGTGAAGGGACTGAGCAAATAATCTCTTCACAGCACAGCCCTTCTTTATCTTCAACAATAATTTCAATGGGAAGGTTTTGTGCTACGGTTCAAATTGTTGTTGCTTATTACAAATGCTAATACACTAATCCTACTAAAAAGACAAGGGATTCAATCACGAGTAAAGACAAAGAATGTCATTTCATTAAGCTGGCCTATAGGGATGTTGCCGCTATAATCCTCAGCCCATATTGGCAGTGCTAACTCTAGGAATAACACGTGTTAGCATTCAATGTTAGCTTTAGGGTCAGAGCTTAGGCCAAAGACAATCGTGTCACAAACAAACAATGTTGAGGCCTAAAAGCATATTTGGCTTCAGATCAAAAGTCATGGAGTCAGCAAAGACTTCAGGTTTCATCCTTTTGGGACTTTATACAACTGTATACAACTTAGCAATCTATCCAAAAGCAAAATGATTGCATTAAAGAAGCTTATCCTGGAAAATAACAGTACAAATTAACATTGAAACTATATTGAAGAGGAGATTTTGATTTATTAGGACCAAAACTTATCTTAAGGATTAGGTCTAAGCCGTACCCGGTGTTTCCAGAGAAACCAGAATCTATTTAGCAGTCTTGTCATGTGCAGAAATCTCAGACTGCTCAAATTGATGCCATGTGTTCCCATCTGCCTTTCCCAAGAGGTGGTAAATACTCTCCATGCATTGCTGTTACAGTAAGCATAGCGGCATCTAGTGTTAATGACAGTCCCACATGGCTGGGAATGTGGCGTTTTCGTGGAAAGGAGGGAGACGGTGATCATGAGAGAAATTAGCTGATCAAACGCATAGTCCAGGAGGATACTTCGCAACGGAAAACCACAAGACTACAGCAACGAGTCACTTCTAATGCCCCTGTCAATCCTCAGCAAGACTGTTTCTCATGGGAGGAAATGAAGGGGAGGGGGGGACTGTTGGACCAACAAAATATTTTTTGATCACTTAAACCCTGTGGAACAATACGCCTTTTGTACAGGCAATGTCTGGCTGTCACACCGGAGGGAGGTGTGTAAGGGTATTTCTTATGGGTTGGCAATGAAAGGGTTAACCTCCAGAGACAGAATAGACTTGCTAAAAGGGTGATGAAAGAGGGGGGTGCGGGGCAATCATCACATCGGTGAATAACAAGCTGAGATCCAGCCCTTTGGAGGCACTTATTCTGTGTCATCCATTCAATCAATCAAATGAATGATTGATTGCATTTTATAGCAAAGTCCTTGAAGTTCTCACAAGTCCTGCAGTATACCGACACAGCTGTTTCTCAGTTTCTTTAGTTGGTATATTGACAGTTTATGGGCATCTCATTTCGCTGCACCACTTTTGGCTTATCCCCCCTACTGCGACAGTGCTCAGCTGTATCCAATTGTCTTGGCATTGAGACTTAACTTCACAGCTCTCCAATAAAAGAAAAGAAAAGTAAGAGGAATTGCTTTAAAGTTTACATTTCAGTAAGTTATGTGTCAATTATATAAAAGAAAATGTTTTCTGGATGCCATAAATCTGAATTCTAAGTTATTTGTGCACATACATTGTATTCTTCTTCTATCAAAATATAATTAGTTGTCATATCTAATTGTTCATGATAAGCAGAAAGTTGGTGACTTCTCAGAAAGAAAGAAACTGTAATCAGCTGTGAAATGGGTCTGTCTTTACTCACCCTCTCACCATGATCTCCTAGGGGACCTGGAGGACCCTGCAATCCTGAGGTACCAGGAACACCCTAAGACCACACACATAGACACATACACTTTAGCATATTATATCCCAAACTGCTGCTAACCAGCATTCCCACCACCAGCAGTGTATCAAGTACTTCATATGCATGGGCCAACAGAGACAGAGGGTTGAGAATGAAATATAAAATAGACCCCAACCCCCCCCCCCCCCCTTCTTTCACTCTCTTTTGCTCACTCTCACAGAGACACACATGTACACACAAGCACGCACAAATACACGTTTGGACTGTCTCTCCCAACTCAAGCTTCACTGGCGATCAGGGCTGATGCTCTTTCCATAAAGACATTTTTTCCCTCTTTAGCTGTTCTCCATCTGTGGAAGGCAGACAGGAGTGTGCGAGAACGTGATACTCACTGCTTGGCCGGGGGCTCCTTGGGGTCCTTCTACAAGCATCCCCTGAAAAAGGAAAAAGTGGATACAGTAGCATTATAGGGCAGCCTGTAAATCCACAGGCAATGGAGAATTTTGGGAAAATTAGAGTCAGAGAGTGCTTTTGGTTTGAGGTTAAGGAGTTTACATATAGCTACAAGCGCAAGACGTCAACAGTGCCTCAGCAATCTGATGTTCTTTTCTATAATAGACGCGTGTTGTCAAATAATTGGAAGGGAGCCTAAGGTGGTACAGATGGTCGGGGAGGAGAGACGATAACTGCAGCTTCTATTTCCGTCAATGTTTAGCCTATAGTGGTAAATTGTATAGGATGGCTCTATAAAGAACATGTGTACTGCATTTAGTGTAGACAGAGGTAGTTCGTCTATGACCAAGACATTGTGTTGAATCTCATCAGAATGGAAGTCTTAGTTGTGTAAGTGCTTAAGGGGAATAAAGCTTGAATTAAAAACATACAATGGATGTAAATCAGATTTGAACAAAGGGATATCTGTTCTTCTATAGTTTTAAGAAAACAGAAGAGAACAAACATTCCCTAGAAAATATGCATGAGAATCTGACTTTGGACTTTTATGGACGTATAAATCATTGTGAGCAAATGTTGGAAAGTATCAGTGGAATATAAAATCCAGTCAACAGTCATTTTGAAATATGGCTCTTACTGTATCTGAACATTTTGTTGGCTAGATCAGCAGCCAAAAGAAACAGCACACAGAACAATAGATATATTTCTGCTAGCCTGATAGCATGTAGCAAGTAGCAAGACAGACACACAGATATATAGATAGATAGATAGATCCTAGAGTTATGGAAGGTCACATTTAGATCATTATCTTAAAGCGTGAACTCATTCACCTCTGGCAGAAAGTGTCTTTCAAAATGTGATTGTTAGCGTTAGCTGCTTAGCTTGGTATTTCTCAGAATGAAATTATAGTTTTTGACTTACAGGCTCAATGACGGCAGGTTCACCCTTCTCTCCTTTTTCTCCCAGGTAACTTCCTCCACCAAGCTGCAGACAAAAGACAGATCAGGTGAGCATTTTACACGGTAAGAGTCCGGACATTCATCTAAATGTAGAGCAATGAAGGTCTAAAAGCCACAAATGGAAATACTGAGAGAGCAGCAGATGCCCTGTCTTGTTGGGTGATCTTTTTGTAGAAGTTATTTAAAATACAAATAACTGATTAGAAAACCTCCACAAAGTGTGCTGCATGCTTTAAAGGATTTAGGCAGCCTTTTTTATTTCTCCTGTTCAAAAGATACATCAAGAATCATTTTTTCAAGAAGCTATAATTTAGGCTTTGGGTTGACTCCTATTCATTAAGCTTCCTTAAAGCCAGGAACTACAAAAAGACCCCAACTGTGCACAACTGCCGAAGTGGTTACCTGACACTATCCATACAATGACTTCACATGAGAAGAATTCCCAAACTACCTAAAGCAGTGTGTCCGAAAACCACATGATTTTAAGTTTAGCCTGAAGAGGAGACTGAGAAAGTCATATACCAGGGCTGTGGTGCCCTGAGACTGAAGAGTACAGAGAAGAGAACACTAATAGAGTGGTTCATATTAACCAAAGGCAGACAGATTTAAAGCCAACATCCAGACAGGGACCGTGTCACTTCCTGCCTCTGAGAATCTGGATCCTGAGGCACGGAAGGGGGCTGGACACGAGCCATGATAGACACTGGCTCAGCAAAGTTTTCTGTCTGGTTTTTAGAAGTTGATCTTGATGGATTTGATGAAAAAACATGTGCAAAGACTGTTTGTCACGAGATATTTCAAACAGATCATTGGTGTGATAATCAGGGTGGAGCAAGTCCTTGATAAACAGCACAGGTCATTGAGGTCAAAGGTCATGGAGGGCGTGTCTGCGCTGACAGCTGGGTGAACATCTGTTTATCTGCTGGAGACTTGGATAGACAAGGTGTGTGTGTGTGTGTGTGTGTGTGTGTGTGTGTGTGTGTGTGTGTGTGTGTGTGTGTGTGTGTGTGTGTGTGTGTGTGTGTGTGTGTGTGTGTGTGCGCTTGCTGTTGTATTTGTGTTTGGAGAATGTGTATGCACAATGCTCTAAGATATAACCAGATACCATTAGAAACAACAAACAATAAAGGACACCACAAACAACCCCTCAAAACAAATGCCACCAGAGATTTCTCAATTTTTCCAGATTCCTGACTGACCACCACCTCCCCCTCCCACGAACACTCCTCACCACCCAAGCACTTACATTGCTCTCTCGGATGTCCGTCTCAGCTGGAACACCAGGACCGAACTCCTCCTCGTATAATGCGGGTGTTGGATTGGCTTTAGCGGTGCCATAATCGCCATAATCACTATAGTCGTATGGCTTCTCTACAACCTCTTTGTGGTCATATTCCTTCAGGTCGTATTCCTTGAATTCATAAACATCAGGTTCTGCTTTCACATTGGGGTCAGATGGAGCAGGGTTTTCTGCCACAGCGGTGGGGTCCACTCCGACCTGCTCCACACCAGTGATGTAATCATCCACTATCTCCCCTTCATAGGTCTGGGATCCATCCAGGCATCACAGAGAAGGGCAGGGAGTAAGTAAGATGGGAGGGAACATAAAAAGTCTGGTTAGTGAAACGAATGTACAGCTTCAATGAATGTAAAGCTTCAATGTAAAGCTTCACATGTTTTCATAGCAAGATTTACAGTCTAATCATTAGTATTTAGCATTTAAGTACACTGAAATGATTGGACACCAACTAAGTAATTCCTCAAGACTTTTCAACTTGCACACATCCATATATTTGATTGTGGACTGACCCTAAAGCCCACATATGTGAAACTAGAGTCCACATATGTTTTGTGAATCAGACAGGCACTGCTATTAACATTAACAACTCTAATCATATGTTATATTTATTTCTGCAAGGCAATAGGAATGGGAGATATCACAAACTAATGACACTTTGATGTTTTTAAAAAGGACAGTAAAATATGGTACACTTACATATGGAAAAGAACAACTGTAAACAAATATGCATGCCTTGAAATAGCAATATGAAAGCCTAGTGAGGTAATTCTCACATTAAAATCTTAAAACTTTAGCCAGAAGTTTGTATTTCTAAGAATCAATGTTTGCATAGTATCTGGGGTACTGAGAAAGCAAGATTGTACAGGAGCAATTTTTCTGTTGTTTACAAGCATTGATTTCTCCGTCAACTGTAAACATCTTAGTGGGGAAGCGTTAGAAAATATGCTCAATGAAATGTGCTTTTGCAAGTATTAGTTTTGCAGTTAAAAGTTGTTTCAACAAAGTGTCCAGCTTTGTTTCCTTCTTTATATAATTATTTGACACAGTCTCAGGGCTAATTGTAGGTGAGACTCGAGGAGAAATAAAACAGACTGGTGGTAATGTTGCTAGGTTCAGGACATCTGCTATATATTTATATAAAACACTACTGCATCAAACCTATATTGAAAGCATTGTGTACATCGTGTTAGGTCTATACTCAAAAGGCCCCTATGATATAGTCTTCAAGTTGTCCAGTCCTCAGTAATCAGACAAGTGTTCCAACATGGGACAGCATATGGTTAGTTTCCGTGGTTAGCCTTCTGGCTTGTCATTTTCAATGAATGTAAGGTCTCAAGCTGACTGAAGCAGCATTATCCACCTCAAGGTGCATCACAATGCACTCGGCAGTGAGCACACAGCCGTATTGTTGTAGTTTAAACCCCAAATGTTCCTCATTATGTTGTGTTTTATGTGATGGTTAAGCACACATTAAGACAGGATCTGCCAAATACAGGATATGGGGGAAACATAGGGGATGCGTCTGGGTACTGATTTTCCATTGGTTACGGTTCATTAAATGACAACGTTTTCCTGCTTCGGTCTTTATCCAGACCCTGTTTGATGGAGGCTGTTTCTCATGGAAATCAAGGAGTAGAGCGAGCAGTCTGAACCCGCGTTGGGTTTAAACCTCCAGAGATGATCATAAAAATCTGTTTGTAATACCCAAGCAGTTTTATTGACAATTCCCTTAGAAATCTAATTATATAAACAGGATTCTGGATGTTAAATGATAGAAATCAGTGATGCATGGCTATATTTTCAACATGGTGATGTTGCAAACCTTTCTGATAAGACAAATGTCCAAAATACAAATAATTCTGGATTCAAATACCAATTCAGGTTGTGAAAAGCGGTGGTTTTAAAAAGTTACCGGGCCAGTGGTCTCAGTGGGGGTTTCAGGCTGATTTCCATCCACTGTGGAGTAGTCATACTCATCCGTGTAGTATTCTCCACCAACATTTGTCTGAATTTAAGCAAAAACAGCACACAGGGAAAGCATTACATACATGAGATGGATACAATGAAAATCACGTCATTTGAAAGAGCTTTTGTGTACAAAGCCTATTTTGTGTACACGACTTGACTATCCTCTATACATGTGGGGTGCAAAGTGTTATGACAGTCATGGTAAGGGAGAGAATTAAAGATTATGAGAGATAAGAGGTTGACAAGAAGGTTCGACAACAAGTGAGTGTGTTTGTTATGCATGACAACAGCCATGATAACTGTATCAGTGTTTTAGTGTTACCTCAGCCTTGACTTCTGCAGTTGGGGCAGGGTCAGTGGTAACCGCTCCTTCATTGTAGTCATAGAGCTCGCCATAATCATAGTTAGTGTACTGTAAGGAAAAAGGAATAAGTGGCAATCAATTGATTAGTGCAATCATGTAAATAAGAAGGCACACTTTCTTAGAGACATGTTGTACATTATTGACATGGCATGTAAGATTAAATGATTGAAATATGTTTTGTCAGCATGCTATTTAAGAAATAACATGTTCAAATGTAATACAATAAATGTCACATCCATATTAGAAAACGGTTGTGTATGGATGACAGAGGCAATTCTTGCTTATTTTTTCACCCAAACCCCAGAGCTTTGTTTGACCCTGTTGAAACATTCATGACCATAACCAAGCAAACAGCAATTAAGATTTTAGTTTGCTTCGACAGGATGTTAGACGGTTAATGTGATGCCAGTGAAAACGTATATCCCTCTAACCCCTTAAATCTGAATGCCAAGAATGCGCCTGGGTTTCATTAATGGGCCTTTAAAACAGAAACCCTTAACTGTCCTGACTCATCGCATGCTGCTTAATTATGGGTATCTTGGATAGTACAGTAGCAGGGGGTAAAACCACTTCACAATCCAGTCTCTGTAAAAACAACATGTGTTAAAAAATATTTCTTTTAAGATTTCCAAAGAAGAAACCTCACTTTCTGGGAAGACGAGGACTGTTGCGTGTGAACAGAGATCATATTAACTTTCCACTATGCTGTGCTGGAAAGCATCTTGATTTGCCATGAAGGTAAGGCACACTTACAATCCAGTTAGGAATGGAAAACATGGGAAAAGAAACAAGGACATTTGTGGGAAAGAAAGAAAACCATTTCCATCAAACTATCTATGAGAATAAGAATCAGATGTGCACACTGAATTAACCTAATTCTGAATGATCTCAATACAAACTGATGCCTTCAGGTGGAATTTACTAAACATGTAAATGTAAAAGGAAAAATGCGAAAATCTTTCTTTCCTCCCAAAGTGTCCGTAACACTTTTTTTTAAAAAGAAAACTGGCGTATCCTTGCTTATGTAGCTTATAGGCAATTTGCATTTAGTTTGATGTTTTATGTTGTTTTTTTCAGATTTTCTCCATATTTTTATGTTTGTATATTCTCCGTCATGAGGCATGTGCAATATTCATATATCGTCTTTATTGAACCACTGTTCTGTCGTGTATTGCGTTGGATTGGAGCTATTTTCAGCACTTTTGCCAAATCTACATTTCACCTAGAGTATTATAATGTTTATCCTACCTTATTATTACATATTTATATTTGATAATCAATTCAAACTCAAGTAGCTAACTTATGTTAGGGATAATACACTTATTTACTTACTTATTTTTCCAGCTGATTCTAGTCTTTTTGCTAAGCTAGGCTAATCAATTCCTAGCCAAAGCTTTATATTAGCCATACAGATATAAGTGGCATGAAACCTTTAATCACACACTCCAAAATGTCAAACTATTACTTTAAGCGTAAGTACTTTATAAGTATTGATAGTTATTTATTGGCACACTGCCTACAACCGAAATGGGGAAGTAGATTAAGTTAACAGACCAGCCCCTGAAATGCATCGCTCTATCAGCACAGGAATAAATATTAGTCCCTGGACGGCTGCTGAGCTCATAAAAATAATACAAGATGCATGGCCTGCTGCAATGTTGGCATGGCCTCCGTTCAGTGGCCCGGAGAGAGAGGGAGGTCACACAAGAGAGGAGCCTTGGCCAGAACAACTAGACTGAGAGCAGAGAAGGAGAGGGTCAGGGAAAAAGATAGAAAAGGATGGAGAACGGAAGAATGATTTATAGTGTTGAAGTGCTTGGCTGAGTTGAAGACCTTCACCACAGCTTGGATGAAAGGCGTAAATACTGAAGCTGGCTCATAAAAAAAAAGCTCCCCCTTCCTCCTCTTGCATCTATCCCTCTTCCTCTTTTAACCCAGCTGCGGACATGCGGCTGACGACAGCAAAGGCGACGTGCCTCAGGTCAAGGAGCATCTTCAGAGGCTAAGGTCAAAGCTATGCTCTGAGCTTTTGTAGAATTGTAGAGGTTCAGTTTTTCAGTTGTGGATGAAATCAATTCTTTAACATACTGAGTTGGAATGTAGGAAAAACATTCCTGTTATAACTGATTTACAATGTCCCTGAAACCAAACGGCTCCCTGCTGTCTATTTACAATTGACAAGCTCCTTGTCTTGGAGCTGAAGAGTAGCTTGAAAATGAAGCAATATTTTCCGGGACGCGGTACCCGCTGTACAGCCAACATTTTCAAATAGAGAAGCAGCTCCTGATTTTTTTTTTCTCAAACCAAAGATCTAACGTCTACTTTTCCAGGTACTGGGAGTCTAGCTGGGGAAGGAAAAGCTTAAATTTCCCTGGAAGTCTGGGCAGAGCCTGCAGAACTCGTTAGTGATATAAATCACGGGGCCACTCCAAAGTGGGCTCAGACTTCGTGGCAGGGAAAAGGGAAAAGTTTCCAGTGTGAGCTCATCAGTTATTTGGTGAAATACTAAAGGAAAATGTCAGCCGACAAAAAAATTTGAACTGTCAAAATAACAGAAGTGTAAATGTAGAAAGACAAATGAGGCCCCGACACAAAGAACTGTCTGTATTCAAATAAGGAGAGTTAGCTGAAGAGGTTTTCCGAGCCAGAGGTTATACATTTTAATTTTAGAAGATGAGTAAAACTCAACAATGTATTTTGATTTGTCAGCATTTTCCACAGGTAAAACACAGACTAAAGAAGAAGATATATTAGAGTTGAAATACAAACGTATACAAGTCTGTCTCTGTCAAAGTACTTCTGCCTGGAGGAATGTTTGTAAAATGTTTTAAGATCATATAATTAGCTGGAGAATGTTTGTGCTTGTTGTGTAATTCTGGCAGACTGAACATTCACTGGATTTAACCACAGAAAATGTTATCTACTAGTCACAGATTATTGTTTAGGTAGCAGGAGTGTTCAAGCAAAAATGTCTGAATGTGGGGGAGGGGAAACTTGATGAGTATCTCAAATGACCCGTACAGTCCAACCATAACTCTTCTCTCTGTTCCTCAAAGCATCACATGTCTAACTTTTCTCAACCCTCAAACAATCCCCAATGGCTTTTTAAAATCAAACTGAATCAAAAAAAATTATCTAATATTCCAAAAAGAAGAGATTTGGTTCCCCCCATTTTTCTGCCATGACTTCACAGCCAAGTTGGAAGGCCTCTTTTCAAATTCCTGCTATCATTCTTAGTAAATCTCAAACTCCGGCTCCTTTATTTCCCCCCTCTGTGTTTCCCTCCCTCCCTTCCCCTCCTTTCTACCAACTCTCTTGTCCTTCTTCCCTCCCTCCGGACAGCTTTGCCTCCCATCCAATCTCCACTCCTAAATCCATCTCGCCCTCCTGCAGACACTGACCTCTTCGTCGGGTTGCTGGGCCTGGGGGGTGTCGTGGTGGTTGGGGGTTTCACAGTCAGGGCTGTAGTGTTCACAGTAGTCATGGGCTGCTCTGGGGTCTGCCACTATCAGCAGCTGCTGGATGTCACCCTGGAAGAGAAGAAGAAGAAGAAGAAAGCAACATGTCAGCCAGAATTCCTGTCAACAGATTTCACAGACTATAGAGTCCTAAATTGGGTAGTATTTCCTGTGTTAATTCCCATGTCAGCGTTCTTTGATCTTTAGTGTTTTTAATATAAAACTACGATGGGGCTGTGTTATGGCCATCAATTTTATTTTTTTCCAACTTAGTTTCCAGTGTAGTTTGGCAAATGGCTCCAAATACTACAAAACCACTGTTTCTGTTGAGGAGTAGCCAGTCCCAGTCACACATAAAAGCTGTAGACAATACAGACAAATACCTCATTGCAATTGGGAACACAAGTGTGCACTTTAGTGTAGTCAAGTCATCCAAAGTTGATCCAGAGTCCAAAAGTGATTGGACTCACACTTCTGAGTATAATCTAAGGTTTCTACAAATGGTCATTTTTACAGTCCTCTGTGATGCAATTGACCACTCTACTTACATTATAATATACACAAAATAAACTGCTATGTTCTTACACAGTATTATTTGTTTGTACAATTCAACTTGCATGTCCTGCCCATCCAAGCCATGGAAGCGGTCCAGCTGCCGCCAATCAGCTTAAATATAATTTAACATTGTTTCCTTCCATAATGACAAATAGAAACCAAATGGTACTATGCACCTATTCCTCCTCGCTTGACTGCCAAAGCTTTGCACCATGTGGTGATAATAAAACGTGATAATGAAAACAATAAGGCATATTGTGTATAGTACAAGAGGCAGTAGTCTCTTGACTATTAATTACATGTAACATTATGGAATAAATGAAGGCTTCAAGGGAGACTTTCAAAAAGGACCATTGTTCAGACCCCCACTCAGCCGTCAGTGTCAGCCAGTCCCCTTACACAGCAGATACATAACCAAGGTCTGTACTTATCTGAGGCCGTCTGTTTTTCATGATCTTTTGGAAAAGGAAATTAGATCCTTGCTCACAACCCTTCCATCAGCCAAATGCTTTTTTTCCATGATCGTCTACTATGGAATTTCTAAACCTGGACTTTCTATGGATCTGATGTGAGAAATGTTATCTATACCCATCAACCATATGGGCAACTCAGGTGAAAAAACAACTCCACCTGGTGTAAGTTACAAAATGGACAAATAAATAGGCAAGAGAACCTAAGTGTAGTTTTAAAGAGAAATAAGGCACTGTTAGGGTGGCCCCTAAAGAGGAAGCACATACATGCAGATTGCATTAAATGACAGGAGGCGACATCTGTAAAAGCATGGATCCCTGGAACACATTAATCCCAGCCCGGTGTTCCCATCATACATTTCAACAGGTTATTGAACAACCCAAACAACAACCAGAAAATTCAATTTGACTCATTGATTAATGCATGTGTACTCAGTTCACCTTCTTATATTACCTGTTGTATAATTTAGCAACACTTGGTTATCCCCCACTTGTTTTTCAACCATCCCATGAGAAAAACCATACATATTTTTTCTATGCATGTCCCAATATAACCTGTATATCCATTACCATCCCCCAGTCTGTGTGAGGTATTAGGGGTGGAGATGTCTACAGGGCCTTGGGAGTAATTTATAGCTCACATTTCATTAAAAAAGAGAAGGAAACAAAATTAAAATGTCAGGTTTATACTTCGGTAGTTTTCCAGATTAATTGCAAAAAGTAGCGTTTTAAATTGTAAAAATGTAGAATAATTAAAACAAGTAAATACGTTCTCTTCATCTCCTGATCACCCACAACCACCTTCAATAAAATAACAATGAGCAGCAGTCCTAAATCAAACATGTGGAACCAATGGTTTGTCAGTTCGATTCCCAGACTGCAGGATTAATGCCCAACTGTGGCCAATGGATTAAACTGAGGTTGCTCTGGGCAGATTCCAGGTGTGAATGTGGAGCAGGGCGTTTCTGCAAAGGAGAGATTTAGTGCTTATTGAAGTGTAGTGCTTATTGAACTAAAGCTCAGTGAAAAAACAGGGGGGAAATACCCTGCCCACAAGAGTTCACCCTGTACATTGTTTAACCTCCTGCTACAACTATAACTACAATGACAAATAACAAGGTCTCCAATTAATCTCCAACACTCATTCAGACACTGCATGTTCCTCAAATTTAACATAAATGGATCAAGAGTCAAAGCCAGAAACATTTAAAAAAAGACAAATTGCATTTGGCGAGATCTCTGTCTGTCTTCTCCAGTCTTCCTATGTGAGGCGCTTGTAACTTTATATATTTAGTGGGAAAGTAAAAGGTACACAGACTAAACTGCATTTACTACGGCAAGAAAACAAATATGTGGATCTGGCAAAAAACAACAGGACTTGTCAAGAGACCACACACACTTTGGCCCATTCATAAGATCAGTGAGTGATTCATTCCCCCTCTCTACTTTTACCCTCTGTGTCTCCTTCGTCTTCATCTTGGTACTTTTGTTGATGTTACTGTCTGGATTGCCTTGCACATCTCTCTGGCGTCTGCTGAGATTCCCCCTCAGAATGTCAGGAATGATCTAATCTAAAGCAATGCATTGGCTCTGCTCAGAGCTGGCACACTCACAATGGGATTAATCACCCGTCTAGGCTACACTACAATCAACCTATTAATGGGTCTGCCTATAATGTGCACGTGGGTGTAAATACAACGCCCCTAAACACATGTTAACCTTCACTGTAACAACCATTCAACGGAGGGTTGACATAAGTAAGTACATAAAAGAAAAAAGGATGAGACTGACTGATCAAAGAGACAAGACTTGAATCATCACTAAACCCCTCCCTGTGTGTGCAACCATCAGACTATGTTTGGGTTTATTTGTGTTGAAAACAAACGCACCACTGTTTCTTCCTCAAGCTTTTCACATCGGATTTTGAGCTACGAAATGTAAAACAGCAAACAGACACCGCTCTGGGCTTGGTGACCTTGGCTGTGAAGAGTATCCGTCCCAACACACAGCTCACACCCACTAGAGAAGTCACTTGAGGAAAACAACTGGCAGATGGATATCTTCTTAATAGTGGGCAGTATTAAAGCCCTCAGCAGACCATGCAATTTGGCCTTGGTATTGTATTCTTAAAAGAACGACAAATATGAGACTCCGAATGCGACTCAGAGGTGTGTGTGGATTGTGATCAAGGAAGTTGTAGACATCTGATTGTGAGCACACATTACCTCATCCCTGAGCATAAAGCACATGGCTGACCTCAAACAGAGAAACACCACTTTGATTAGATGCAGATAGCTCAGACTGATGACAGGAGGCACAGGGTTTTCCCATCTAGCTTTCGTTGGACTAATATGAAGGCACAAACAAAGAAGTACTTTGTTTTTGTCTCCACAATATTGATACCAGACCTGATTGAGAAATGTTTTTTAACTTTAGGGTGTCGATTTCTAGACCTAAATGCATAGTCCAGCCCCCTCCCCCAGCCACCACCAAAATCTAAAGATATGTTGCCCTGGATTGAGCCTTACAGGCAGATCGTTTTCTCAAATTGCAATACAATGTGGCTACGGTAGGCAAGACCAAACAAACATCCATGTGCCTACTTTAACCATCGTTTTTACACATGTTCTTTCAGCCATGTATGACTCAACTCTGTGACGAAGTGCTCCCTGAAAGGCTTATAAAATGCAGCAACCGTAAATCTGGGGGGACAAATCTGCAGTTCTCTGAAGAAGTTCCCATACTGTATCTGTGCTTGTACCAAAAGAACCCACATCCAAATCAGAAAAAAATATGTGAATAGAATTGATTACAATAAGTAGATACATTCACAAATCTTAAAAATAAATAAAAGTAATAGGCAACTGTATAATTGTCTCTTCTATTGTATATAGCTGTACATTAATATTATATCTTCGACTTTTGAATTGTTCCAACAATAAACCTTACAGGCATTGAAAGACATCATCTTGAGCTCTGGGAAATTAAATTAGGACCGTCATCTGAGATTTTAGATAAAAACCATAATTCAGAAAGTGCTTATTAATCGCTAAACAAAAGGTAATCCCACTTTCCATGTTACTACATAATTATAGGTAGTTTCCACTAAATCCTTCAGAACAACATGTAAGTATGTAATTAGCTGGTTGAACTGTGGCGGTCTGTGGCCAGGTGCAGCAGGTCACTGCCTACAGGGAGCAGCTGGGGGTTATTAATGCACCTGGAACACACATTTGGAAATATGCCCAAAGCATCTGCAGAATGACCTAATAAAACACAAATGCATAGAGGCAGAATCTGTGAAAAAAGGGTGCAATGATCCCAAAGTTTACACGTGATTATTTATTACTTTACAGACTATTTAAAAAGACAGCATCCTTACATGGCACCAGAATTTGATCTGGCTTTAAAGATGTGTCGACATGAATGAAGGAAGAAAATGACTGTCCTTACTACTGCAACTTGGATTGAGCTGATAAGATGACTTGTATATTTACATCCTTTTTTATAAAAGTAATGTCCCACCTCAGGATGATCAACAGACTTTGCTGTAAAAACCTTAAACTCTATCAAATCACTGTAACCCACTGTCACACTGAACCATCATCAGCCAGATGTGGCTGGATTCGAGGCCAAGCGAAATGCAGCTGCCCAAATCAACAGGGTATTGCTTAAATGTCTTTTTCTTGCAGTATCTTTGGTAGCCATCTTTTTTTTTCTGTATTTTCTTACTTTTATCATCAAAATACCTGCTTTTCAAAATGATGGGAAGGGAGCACACATAATTGTAAGAAAAAATAAACAGATGGAGTTTCAAAACTGTACAAGGGGAACAATTAGGCTGGAAGCAGAAAGAGGAAAACTATCCCAATTCCTCAGTGTTTTATGAAATGCAGCCTTTGTGGTCAGCACAAGGATAACGTTTCTTTGACAGCACTGGAGGCATACAAATGTCTTGCACCCTTAGAATATTAAAATATTTCTTCTGCCAGTAGCTCACAAAACGGTTTAACTATTTGATCCATCTGCTTGCTTGTCTGTCTGCCCTTTCTTTACTTCTTTCTCTCTCAGTCTCCTTTACCTGGCTGTTCTCTTTTCCATCAGCCAAAGTATTTAAGAAGCACCTTGAGTGCATTACCTCGTGGCTGTGCTGGGACCACTGAGAGGGGGTTAAGGGACAAGGAGGTCAGATACAGGTTCACTTTGACAAATATACTTTTAATCTTCCGTTTCTTCGTATAAATGCTTGTTGAAAATATCAAAATCTGAGTCTGAACTTATTCTTGGGAGATAAATATTAGTTAAAATGGGATTCTTCCTTAACATCTAGGATCTTAACTCTGGCCGTTTCTCAATGTGGAGTAAACCTGCTGCAGAGCCACTATTTCAAGTATACTACGTCATCGAGTGGCGCAGAAGGACTGTTTAAATGCATGTTAAATGCCCAGCATTCGGCGCCACTCGATGACGTAGTATACTTGAAATAGTGGCTCTGCAGCAGGTATACTCGACATTGAGAAACGGCCAATGTCTTATTTACTGTCATGGCCTCTTTAATATGCATTATGAAATGTACCTGTCCTTTTTTTAAATTTGTATCTTTATATCTTCACTATACTGTCCTAGTCCTCACCTGTGCTATGTTAAACAAAGATAAAAGTGTCAAAACTAATTAACAGCAACACTCACACAACTATGAAGTAATTACTATATTCCTATAAGACAACTCTACGAAAAACATTTTGTTACTGGAGGGAGAAAAAGTGACTGAGGCAGACTGTTTCTCTTTCTGCCAACTCAACCATAAACAATGATTCACTTTCAGGCTGAGCCCATCAGAGCCTTGTTAGATTCCTCTGCCAAAGACTGTCCTGCTTGAGGGACAGTATTTTTTGGAACAATCTACTACGCAGTAATGACAGACACATAAACAAACTATCTTCGCCTCCTCACAGACACAGACTCCTTTATATGCACATCTGAAATAACACACAGAAAGCACACACTCTGTCATACGGGCAAAAACTACAATCCCACCCTATCCCTTAAAGTCTGAGGAATGGATTTGCATAAAAATGAGGAATGATTGAAATATCGTGTGGCTTTTATTTAAAAGAAAAAAAGCAGAAGAAAGGGGAAAAGGGCATTTGGAGGGAGCGTATCTTTTAAACAGCTGTGCAATCGGAGCCAATTCTAAGCACACTCGCACACTGATCATATTTTCCCCCAGCCTTTGCTCTCCCCTGTGCTTCCAACTTTGACACCTGCTTATGCAATCTACTGCAGTAAGGTAGCCATGTGCTCACAGCTCACAGCAGTTTAAGTGAGAAAGCTCAAAGCAAACCTCAGTAATTAAAGTGCAGAATGGCTCCAAAGATGGGAAGCTTGGCATACTGAACAGCCACAATTCTTGATCTATTTTATCAATACATTCTCTAAATCATGAATTATAAAAAGGATTGGACAAAGAAAAACTGTAGAAAATGTTTGCCTTTTGTTGGATCAATTTTCTAAGGTAAATGTAGGTATAGGTCATGAAATACTAATGCTTATAAATATTAATTGATATATTACATGAATGGGTTTGGGATGGTCAGGGTTAGGGAAGGGTATTATGTAAGATATCGACTTCCATCTTTGCCTTACGCTAAAGTGGTATGTATAATAACACATCAGAGGATCATCATATAGGATTTATCCTCTGGGCATCACTATAACCACAGAAAATATAATGGTTAGTTTAAAATATGTCATAGGAAGGTCTGGGATTAACTACATAATTGGGACCTATCCTGGGACTATATTAGTGATACAATTTTTTTTAAAAATATCTTTGAAATTACGGGCAATAGGTTCATTGTTCCTTTTACTGACAGATATATAAGAAGATCAATAGCACATGTTAAACATAAATACATTACATACAAGACCTTGGAAGAACTGGACTCAGTCAGCTGATTGCGGGGATGTTTAAAATGTTTCCATTGTATTTATCTACAGTAGATATTGCAGCCACCATGATCCAAGTTTCCATAGCCTCCAAGGTTTACTGATTGTAGAATATAACAGCTGAAGAATGAATGCCAAAGTATAACCCGATAGGCAACAGGTCGGACCCAAACACATGGCTTACATCTACCTTACATACTGTACCTTTTTGTATCTAATGAAATGAATAGAAAATACCTTTATGGCCAGTATGATTTATTTTCCATTAGCAATCAAGTGTGTCTTTAAGAAGCCAGTTTAAAACAAATCAAGGGTTATTAAACCTGAAGTGGAAATAATTACAGTCTGTGATTGCTGAATTCATTTCGTTTCAACAATGCCTTTGTGTGATACACTAATATAAACCACCTTGGATCATGCAAAAAAACCTTGGAACAAAGGAAAACTGTTTTTTATTCCCCCAGGTTTTAAAAAAGGTGAACAAAACAAATTACTCTGCAATTCAAGAACCATTAGTGTAATATATGTTCTAACAAAGACCACTCACAAGAGCCAAATGGCTGACCCTAAATCAGCATTTAAAATAGAAAAAAGCTAAGTGTTTAGCTAATTTAATCCTCTCAATTACTTTAATTACATTTCCAACCACAATCACTGTGGCTTTCACACTTATGTTATTTACTGTTGGTAATGTTATAAAATGAATTCACTATAGTTGTGCCTTTTGTACTTTGTAAATTGTGTCTATATGTTTAACTTCTATTTCTTGCAATGTGATCTTCTTGCCAAAAACCTATCACTGAAGAAGGGTGGGTTGACATTTTCATGAGGCTCCCGGTGGAACTTCATCTCTAACCTGGAGGCAAACATTGTGCAGGCTGTTCTACTTAGCAAGCATTCCACATGCACACATCAAAGAGAGGCTATTGTTTTCGGAAATAGCATTGAGCTAACAGTATCCACTCAGCTCATAGCTACCTATGCTAAACTGGCAGCTAGGACCTCCATTTCATAGTTGCCACCTCGGTTATTGTACATTGATTCACAGTTATTGAGGTTATAATATAAAATCATCTCTAAATATGGTGGCAAAATTCCGGAATCTCCAATAACACAATGTCCAATATTTAACACAAGTCTATTAGACCTCAGTTTTCCTTTTAATAAATCTATATTCAAACAAATCCAAACCAATGTTGAGAGCAAGAAAAAGCACTTCGAACAACATTTTCCACAGATTCTGCCCATACTTGCAGAGTATAAATGCCAATATTGTTGTTCTGGCCAATGAAATGTACCATTCACTTTATGCACATGTAAATGAAAGACAAATACAATGTCTGGTTTTAAAGTGCTTGGACTGAAGAGGACAATAAAATAATCTATTTGCTCAATGGTAAATGAGATTCATTGAGTGTCGGATTCAGAATATGCTTTCTATTACATCCATTCATTCATGCTTGGCCAGAATGGAGAAATCACTGGCATAGTAGGGTTTCCCTGAAAACATAATCACTTCAGTTTACTGTTAAAATCTGCATTACATTAGGGAAAAACTCTTCTGTGGAGATGATGAGACATCTTGATATCAGATATCAGGATCAGAGGTGAATTTAGTTGTATCTTTCCCAGAAAACAAGTCTTATTGTAGTCACATTAACTATTGAAGATTATAATAACTATAATGTGCACTCATATCTGGGCATTAGTTATTTAGCTGGAGCTAAAAGTTGCCTAGCTTGGGTTAGCATGAAGACTGCACTGGTTTAGCGCTTTGTAATAATTTAAAAAATATCCCTACCAACACATTTGAAATATGACGTGACATAGACAATCTGAACAGAAACGTACATTTTAAAGTGATACGTTGTGTAAATGTCTTGTTCTGTAACTTCTAGTCTTTGGCTCCAACTTAATAATTACAGCACAAAAATGAAAGTGTCATCCTTCTTCTTAAGTAACTCTTGACCAAAAGCTAATAAAAACACATCAAATAATGTTAAACCACTCCTTTGAACCAATTAACACCCCAATCACAACACAGCTAGCTTAATCAAGGTGGATAGGGATTCAAAATGGCTGCCTTACTTCAAAGACTTCCTCATCCAGGATTCTGGTTCCAAAGACAGTAATGCCTTCTGTGTTGATAACGGCCTGGTCGCTTCTGGCGAGGGGCCTGGTCACCTTCTTCTTACAGTCCACAATGATGGTGACACTCTTCTTCTCCACGCTGATGGCTACACGATGCCATCTGTGCAGCAGGGGAGCAAAGTGGGGGGTTAGAAATATAAACACAACGCTCTGGCACTTCCTGTCCTTTCAAGAAAACTGCCACAGTCTATGTTTGGAAGAAAAGTGACATTTTGATAAATTGTTCTTAATGAGAGTTCACAAAGATAAGATCATTGCCACTGTTATATCTGTACACAATATACACAACTACATCCTGCAGCTGATTAGCTTAGCCTAATGTTGCGACTGGAAGCAGCTAAAAATATTGCGCCTCTAAAGTTAAAGAATTCAGATTTGTTTGTCTTGTTTAACAATGAAACAGTTGTTAATCAAAAAAGCAGTTACAGAAAATAACCTTTAGTAACCTCCAGTACTATTTTAATGACTATATAAGGAAACATATATCTACCAACTGCTTCAATAGTGAACTCATGGTTGCTGGTAGCCTGTTGTTTTTTTGCAGAGATAAGCAAGTAAGTGTAATTTGCTAAATGTAGGAATCATCTTTAAAATGTCCTTTGGTTCCACACTCTTAAGTATGTAGGAAAATAAATACATTTGATGTATGTCTCATGTCGAAGAGAATAAGGAAAACTGTGAGCAAACCCAAGGAATGTAAAAGTCATAGCCTACCAACATCTCAGATGTCATTGTTTTTTAATGTGTTGGTTCACAAGACAGCTTTGGAAATGTACTCTACTGAAGGCTACATACTGTATATAGCAGTTATTATTCTGATGTTTTATTATTTATAAAATCTATAGCAGACAAACAGCCTTGCATGGGATCATGTCTGAGCATTTGTGAAAATGATTGATCGCAACTTCTAAAAATGATTTGTTTTAGAGTCATTGGGCAGCCATGCAATTAATGAGGATCCTGCCCATTACTGCATATCAGTATACAACCGCTGCAACTAACCTGGAAAACAAAAGACTGTGAGCAATTTATTTGCCATTACTGTCTGACTTGTTCCATATGGCTTTAATGACAGAACAAACATAAGATGATAATAAATCTTCAGAGCTGTTAAGCTAGGAGAGTTAATGATGCTCTGAGTGATTGAGAACATCTGTGGAGCATATTGGTTTTGTTTAGCATTAAATTATTTCTTTAAATGTGTATAAAGTGCTCAAGTTGGGCATCTAAAGGTGCTGTTGCTTGAGCCAATCAAACAATCTTCACAGAGGTATTGAGATTTACATTTACCCTGAAAATGCAAGCAAAGATCCAGGGGACGTAAACATCTACAACCCACATCTGACATGTTCAAGCCCTCTTAAAAGAGCAACCAGTCACTTACTTCCCGTCAGCCAGGTTGATGGAGCGGAACAGGGGGTACTCTTCTGGGGCAGGCTTGCCATTCTGGTCCTCGTACAGGAAAACGGGCGCACGGCCCACCTCCACGCCCAGCTGCTGGATGCCTTGCTGGTTGTACACCGACAGCAAGAAGGACTGGAGGCCAGCCTTGGGCTTGATGGTAAACAGGATGGAGAAATCTTCTGGGAAAACTCCTCCTGAAGGTTAAACAATCAGCAGGCATTTAGTTTGGTTTGTAAGTAAAATATATTTTGTTACAAAATCTGGGTAACTGCACATTTTTGTCAGAGGGTTTTACAGCATTGCTCTGCTTCAGATTCATACAAATACACATATGGAAACATCCCAGTATAACCACAGCATTCTTAATAAAATCTAAATAAATAGCTCTTGGAAGTTAGCTCAGGACTGTTTACTTAATTTCAGAGGATGTTGCAGAGAAGGTTTACTGACTCCCTACCTACTTTACTAGCTCTAAGAAATAGTTTGTGCAAAAGGCACATTCTTGTTGAGATACAATAAGAAGACATTTACACTCTATTACAGTGTACCGTGAAGATTAAGCTTTAAGGAACATAATACAGTCTCCTTTTCACCTTATTTACACTCATTTACTAATCTATCCTTCTCTGATGTCGGTACAAGGGCAATTGTATTGTATGACTGAATTGAATAATGGCAAGTTTATTAGTGTTCACATTAAACCCAAATGTCTAGACAACTGGACCTGGAGCAGTGTTTATTAAGGAAGCTAAACGAGTCCCTGGCATCCCCTGAAAGGACTTAAGGTTGGTGATGTAGCCACAATAATTTTACAAGGGCAGTAAACACTCAAACAAATGTCATATTTTTGAATCCATAATAGCTGGGTTCAATGACAAAATAACTAATCCCGATCAAATAAAAGTCCAATTATTCTGACTGAGGACATTTTCACACCTCCAACGCTGCACCTCTCAAGCTTAATTATAGTTTTCGAAATTCTGTTACTGAAAGTGTTGGTGTGCGGGCAGTTTTTGCCAAAAATCACAGAAATAAAGTTATAATACCTCACACTGTTTGGTTTTTAATCTATGACACTAAGCCACACTGAAAACACATACTGCATACACTGGAAACCATTTTTTCTCAACAGCAATACACTAATAAAATAATATTCTATATACTTTTTTGCTATGAGTAAGTGAGCAGTTTGGGACTCCTCCTATACCTTGACCCAGTAATAAAAAAACAGGCCTCTGGTAAGATCTGGCAAGTTTGGAAATCGACAAATGTATCTGTCACCGGCTCATTCGTTTTGTAAAGTCATTAGTAATGACAGAGGTGTTGTCCCCTGCAGTTCATTATAACATTTTCAGATTAGCTAATGAGAAGCAATGAGTGTACGAAAGTAGCACACCAAATGGTTACACAGTTGAATAGCTTTTGTGTTTCTCCGATTGGACTCCTTCCAAATAAAATAAATATGGCTTTATTTCACACAAAATAGCCGGGCAGCAGACTTTGAGTCCCTTGGCATGAAATCCCTGCTAGATTGCACTACATTATCCAAACAAAGCATACTGCAGTCTGCCAGCAATCAAACTTGAGGACAGATAGTTTATGGACAGGATCAGTCCACAAGACATCAAAAGAAATATTCCTCTCATTGATTTGATGTAATAAATTGTGGGTTATCCCAAAATATCAAACAACAAAAATCTGGTGTCTACTTGAATCATATGTTTACATAACATACACCATATGCTGAGTGATTATCATCCCTATGGGTATTCAACATCTTCTAGATAATAATTTCTGAAAATCTGTAGTGCAGTTTGGAAAACAGGTGTTCGTCGTTATGGGTTTCATTACAGTCAGTCACTCCCTGATTTGTTGCAATTTAATGTGAAATTGTAATATCTTTAAGATGTTTCTATTTTGTCATTAAGTGGTTCATGACAGTAGACATAAGCATTTGTTTAATTTTAATCCATTTGTTTGTGTGGGCATAACATTTCTAGCTTCAGGGATGGCAAAATCTGTCATTATCCGTTATTCTGTCCAGCACTTCCACTTCGAGACAGGAACATTTCAACAATTCGACATTTCTATAATTCATAATATTCCCATCAGTTGTACTGTATTTAGTTTTGTCCAGTGCTAATAGGCAAAGGATAGCATGCTAAAATAAGATGGTGAACATGGTAAACATTATACCTGCTTAACATTAGCATCTTCATCTTGAGCATATTAGCATGCAGACATTAGCATTTAGCTTAGAGCACTGCTGTGCAAAAGTAAAGCATTGGAAAGGAACTATCATGGCTGCAGACTTAGTAAAGTTGCATTGTTCTTTTTACAATGATATTGTGCAAGTGTTGCAGTGCAAACGTTGCTTTTGTAAGGTTTTATGCAAAAGTATACCCAACTATCAAAGAAATTGGTTGACATGCTCTGTATCAGATGAACAGATTGGGCAAAGCTGCCTAGTTCAGCTTCAGAGTAAAGGCCTGTGATCCGTAGGAGGTTACCTGGGAAGAGCTGTTTGGTTGGAGCACTGATCTGAGCCTGTTTTCCCACTCTGTAAGCAACGTCTGGTTTGGATCCTCTCCGGGCCGTGCAGAAGCCTGGTGTTTTCCGTACTCCTTCAGGAGAGCTCTGGAAGTCTAGAGCCTTCAGGACATCTACTGGTTCAGCTGAGGAGAGAAATAATACAATATGTTAACATTACCCACAGATACTTGGACAGCAAGCATTTCATAACATTGGAAGAGAAATAAGCTATTTTGGGAATGTATCTGTTCAAAGGGCTAGCTTAGGTTTCCCTATTTGAGTGAGTCACTTGACTTTGGTCCTACCTGAAAAGGTTTGTATGTAATAATAGATAGGTTTTTGTGAAAAACACAAAGAGAAGATTGTTAATGCTGCATTAATGTGCATCTGCATAAATTGGAAAGTGATTTTCCTAATCTTAAATAGGCTTGAACATTTTATAAGTAAATTCTCAGTCTGCTGGAAACAGACACATTGCATCATATGTGCAAAGGAAAGAACAATAATATGACTACTAAAGGAACCGTAGCTGCGTTTTGCAACAACAATATAACTTGAACTCATTAATTTAATACACATATACTATAAGGCATATGAGTGTACATGTCGTAAAAGCTGCATGTCATTTTACAGTGCACTGTAAGCATATTTCAGCAGTTAACAGAAAACCTAATGGGTCCTGGCATTTTGATGATAAGTCAACATTTACACCAATTACCCCCCCTGCTTCTTGGCCAAATCTGCCAGTAAGACCAATTGTTCATTTATGAGCTACCTTGTCGGAGGACCAGTAAAAATGTTGGTAACCATTCAGCAAACATAAGCGGCCCCCAGCTCAGCTCCAATATTACCCCCACAGCCAAAAGTTACAGCATCTATGGGATGATAAAACTCATGGCTGCTGATCACTGGGTCTTTCTGAATAAGGAGAACGCAGAGGGGGGCAGCTTTACAAGCTTCTTAAAACTACTAAACTCTTTTCTATCAATGGACCTGGTGCTCAGTGTCTGACTGCTGTTCTTTGCAGTAATAAACACCATTTCTTATTCACTCTATCTTCAGTAATTGTCTAACACTCTCACTCTGTAATGTTTTGTTGATCTCTTAAACTCCTATCTCTCCCAATCCCCATGGCACAGTTACAATGTGATAATTGGGAATTAACAAAACCTTATAAGTGTAAACAGGGGTGTTGACGTACAGCTAAACTATATTTATGATTTAACACATCTGCCTAGGGCGGCATTTGCCTAAAGGAATGCAGTAAGACGAGTTTTTAATTAATGGTATAAAAAAAATATATTCTTGTTTTTATATTCCTCAATTTAGTGATGATCCTGCATTAAGTTACTACCTGTCTGTATTTGGCATAGTTAATTAAAGTTATGCATTCATTATAAAATACACATAAACAAACAATATTGCAACATTGCCATGGGTCTCCATGCACATATTGGAAGTAATATGTTTATTAACAACCAACAAAAAGTAGTTTTTTATTTAGGAGTTGTTTTCCATATTCTGAAAGTGGTGTTGAAAGACATCACTTAAATGTTTTTTTTTTGTTGATGATCTGACCAATATTAATACTCAGGGGGACATTTAACAGCTAAAAAAACTAGACTGTGACAGACAAGTATCTCTTTAATGTTTGCTAAAATTAGCTTACAGTAGCCATTAGTAGGCCTTGTTCAGAAGAGACCAGGTAAGACTGTAGCAGCAAAAGTGAAATGAGCAAGGGTGTGTTTAATAGCTTATATATTCAACTTTTAAATGTGTTATGCTTTCCTAGAAAGGTAACAGTCTCGCTTTAAATTTAGCAGTCGTGAATGAATGTGATGATTTACAACTTCATATCAATGTTGGTGAGGGGTCACTTGATTAAAGTTGGTGTTATAATAATAATAATATGCTGGCATTGTCTACAAAAAACAAGATCAAACCCTTTCTGACCATAGCTCTTGGAACATTTGCTGCCTTGTAATTTAATGAGACTAACCACATGCAATACCATCTCTGTGCTGTTGTATGGTTAATATATACTGACATTTAAACAAAGACTAGATTACACATCAATACTGAAGAATGTATTGTTCCGATTACAATTTTGATTAAACTGGCAGCAAACTAATGTAGAGGTCCAAAGTAGATAATAGAATAACCAACATTACAGTTGAATTACAGGAAAGTTAAATTTCCACTCCAAACCAAACTCAGTGTAACCCAAGTATTAAATGATATGTGTGGAACTGCAGAAACCACAGCAGTAAAAACCAGCATGTTACTAATGTGTCTTTTCAGTGAGTCAAGAAGCAGGATGTGTCCTCTTCAAAATCCCCAGCAATTAGAAACAACGTCTGAATGGTCAGCTTACATTCTCAGTGGGAAGATAAGGCCTTTAAAGAACGGCAGATAACAGGCTCAATGTTAAGTCTCCCTTCCTTGAAAAAATCTGAGATTCATGTGTTTGATACTGGCTTAAAAGCATTGTGGGAAAATCATTTAAAGGGATCAGAAAGAAAACGTTCTTGAAATTCCCAATGCAGGAAATCTCATCAATACTCCATAATAAAGTTTGGTCAAGACTCAAGAGACCAAAAAAGCATACACTGGTGGAGAGAAAGGATCATAATGTCAAGGAATAGTGTTATAGCCCTTTTCTCCCCATCAATTGAAGAACCATTTGTTCACGTAAAATGTAGACCCTAAGCTGTTAGTGCTTTTCCATCCTTCTCCTTCAGTGCCAGCCACAATACATTTCAACATCAATCTAAATTGAAAGTCAAAGGCATGTAATTATAATAATATACGCCTGTTTACGTTTTCTATTTTTGTAAGTCATGTGGCACGTGAAGCCAGGAAGTGCTGATTATGCAGTTCCTTTTCACTTTCAGTGACCAGGAGGGGGTCTGATGGGTAGAGCTTTAAGTCCACATGCTGAACCCATTATGTTACTGGCACCACTCCCTATACCCCCCCCCCCCAACTAAAACATACATGAGACTAAACGGAGAAGGCCCCATCCCTGTAGCTACTTCTCCTGTGACCAGAACAATAACAGCTTGAGTGATGAATCAAACTCGCCTGATTCCAGCATATGCTCAGAGATGTGTCTCGAGTTTTATCATATTTGAAGTTATGCAGATCTTCTCTTAAAAGTAATGGGGACTGGAGTAATTTATGCTGAAGAGTGTGAAGATTATAAGCATCAAGCAAGCAGCACTGACTTTGGATTTCAACACAGACAGAATAGAGTACAAATGTGGGGTACCAAACGCCAAGTATAAAACCTCACACCGGATGCCTCATAAAAATGAAAATAGTCTGTGGCTCTTCTGAATATTGTCCCAAGTACAGAGCTACTGGTTCTTGAAGAAAAAGAGAAAGAAATCTTGGACTAAAGGTCTCTTTGTGAGTTCCAGAATGCCTCTCTGCATTACTGCATACCTCAAGGCCTCATATATTCCAGATGTGCTGAATTGGCCAGGAACCCCCCCACACCCGCACCCCTAACTCTTCAGCCCCACTCTTCCACAACCATCTTTTCACAGAAGCCCTGAAAAACCGGCAATATCCCAAAACCATTAAAGAACCCAAATGAATAAGCATGGTTCTTAAACTCTTTTGTGTCTCGTAGGAGCCAGCATTATATACCCTCAACGCATCCTTAAAAAGAAAGATTCGCCTTCTTCTTCCACACTTAAAAAGGAATAACCGATATTCTAATGATAAGGATGAAAAACCACAAGAGAGAGTTGTCTCGTGCTCAAGGTACCAAAGCAGCTTCAGACGAGCCACAGTCTGAAATGTAATCTTCAGTCTCTGATTTTTAATGACACATCTTCCTGCCTGCTGTCGGGGACTTGTGATATACTATCTGCCATGTTAACAAGCTACTAACATGACAAAGAAGTGTGATTTCCTCCAAGGCAGTAAAGCATGTAGTGACAGGAGGGAACTATTAAAATCATTAAAGCAATTGCACCAGCAGACTTTAAGACATTTAAATACCATTTTCAGCTATATAGTCAAAATGTCAAGGCCCCTGAATCTCATAACTCAACAGAGCCATACAGTTTGATGTTAAAGTGCAGACTTGTGATTAACTTTTCAATATGTGACATTCTGACTTAATGTCTCTGCGGTCGTGCGCAGACATCATGGGATGTCTTTTCGGGTTTTTTTGTGACACTGGCTACTACTGAAAGTTGGCAGAAAAAGGCAGCAATTAAAGTACATTGGAAAGTCTGTAAATGTTTGCTAGCAAGTCATGCAATTATGGTTAGTCTAAGTATCAGTCAGAGTGAAGGAAGATGGGCAATGGGCAATGCATGCCAATGTGGTATTTGCTTTATTTTTTATATTTTCATTTTTGGGGCGCTCTATCCAATTTGCCCTATGCCGAATGATTTCTTTATGTATCATAGGTATTTTAAAGATGACTTAATTCATGTCAGTGTCATTGCTATGATAAAGGAAGGCATTATTTTTGAAAGGTTGCGTCATCTGATGTCAAAACCACAAATATTAAAAAGCCACATGCATCCAAAAAGTCACACAACAGTGTATTTCAGTTAAAGTCACAGTACAGTATGGATGTCTCTCAGACGTCACAAACAAGGAAAAAACATAAAAGAAGAAGTTAATGTGACCAACATTTGTGTTTTTAAAGCAAAGAAAATACTCCAGTTTTTTTTCTTTTTTCCACCGACGCCCCTTTTTGGACTTAGTGGGAGCCCAGATAATGTGGAAAGATGGTGATCCTCAAGGAGAGAATATGAATTTCACTCCCAGAATTCCACAGTCTCGAGCCCAGTGTCTTGTAAACTTTTTGAATATTTATCACAAAACCTACATCTATAAAGTTACACTGTGCCACAGCAAACTCTATTGACAGCAAAATAACATAAAAACGTATGTCAATTTTAAGCCTTTTGTTAATTTTATTTAATTGTTAAGCTCTTACTTTGCTGATATGTTGTAGATAGCTTAATGCACTAAATGTGGACCTATGTGTAAAAGTCATGTGTCAAACCTCAAGGGGTTCCAATAATTTGTAATAATAATTTCTGTGATCACATTATCTTCAATAATTAGTCAGCATAATTGAAAAATAATTGGTCATAAGACCCATCTTGCACACTTTTTACACAGACCACAAGACTATGTGTGTCAAGATGAAAAAAACTATGAGCCTCTCCCCACTGACCACACCTGGATGGCAGACTTTGCTACTTCAACACTCAGAGGGAAGGAGCAGCATCTCTTCTGTTTGTGCCAAGAATAAACCTTAAATTGCAAACAATCACAATATTGCAACTACTGTATGTAGCACATATAGTAAAGGTTTAAGGTACGTTTTTGAGGTGGTAACTTCAAAGTCATCAACAAGCTTACAGACACAACTGTGGTGACCCCTTTAAAAGTTACTGGATAATATGATGCAGGTGCAGTCATATAATATAGGCTCAGTTTGGTGTCACTCAGAAATATACTTTAAAAAAACAAGTAAATGCAGGCATCATGAGGTAAATTGCTTTGAATAAAAAAAAACACAAATAAGAAAGTGTGATCAGTGTTGTATGATACAGTGGGCAGGCAGGTCTACTGAGCATCTGAAAGGTGTATAAACAGAGTAATGGTGACTTTACAGGCCATCGATTGGCAGTGTACGCTACTTAATTAAAGTTGATGGTTGGTCGCTGCTTAACCCACTGTCACCTATGGGCTGTCCGCCAGCCTATAGGAGGCTCTTAAAGTCCGGGATGCCCTGGTGTTGGCACAGTGACCGTGACGTGGGGTAACATGCAGCTTCTTACCTGCTCTGACACCGGCAGCTTGCAGAAGGAAAGTTAACGTGACCGCAGCGATTAGCGTTGAATCCCATAGCCATTTTTTCGTTTTCCACCTGGTGGTACACATATGCATCTCCATGATTAGCGCCCGCGGCCGTACAGAAAAAGGGCGACTTTTAACAAAACTCGGTCCCTTCCACAATCCACAAGTGTAGTGTGCTTATACTAGAGCGCCATGTGTGAAAGTAAAAAAATCACAGCCAGACCGGGCCCTTCAGATCCACTCCCACTTAAGCCCAGATCTCAGACTGATGGTGAATGGCTTTCATGAAAAAAGCGCAAGGCACTCGGTTCCCTGAGCTGCGCACCGTCAGGAGGCTGGACAAAAGCCGCAACGCTGAACCTGAACCGACAGCGAGATACTGACACTGGAAAATCCTCCGTTCATCAAATCACCAGTCAGGAAAGTTGTCTAGGGATCCGCCCCCTGAGCAACAGCATCAAGCGGAGCATCTGCACATCCCACTGCAAACTAATTACAGGACACAGTGAGGTCTCCCAAATCCTGCAAGATCTCTTTTACAAACTTTTACTAAGATTTCAAACTAAATAATATGACAACAAAGCAATTTACCAGCTTCAACTTTCTGTTAAAACAATAAGCTTATAATAAGAATAAAAGGCATATAGCAGATACAGCAGGAGAGGTATTAAACTAAATGCCACACACTAAAAGCAAATTAAGTGGTGGGGTGGAGCTATTATTCTAAAAGTTTCCCGAAAGAATCTGAAGAATAGCATCTACACGTGCCGATGGCTAAAATAAAAGTCCAAATAGCCAGAATTAAATGTGTTCCAGATACTAGGAGTTCCCTCGAGGAGCTCTTAGACTTTTTTTTGGACAGCAAGCCTCCTGAGGTCTGACAATAATTAATGGTTAAAGATGGCTGGAACAAAGAATGGAAGCACAGGTGGTAGCTATATACAGTCCTCCCCTTGATTTGTTTTCTCTTGTGAACAGATGAGAGACAGGTTTAAAAGTGCGATGGCAGCCAGTGACACAAACACGTACCACATTTCGGAAAATGTGTTTACATGTTTTATCATGAGGCAGACATTAGAACAACATTAGGAGATATTTAGGAACACATTAAGTAGAGCACTGAGCAGGTGTTGCTTAATAAATATGAATAGATTGGACAATGACAAATAGGGATTAAGTAATTAAAAAAGGCTGATTTGGCTAGATGTCTGGACTTCCTTTGAATATAAAGCTCAGGCGCTGATGTGCTTGTTTGTTTGTTTGTAGCCTTTATTTAACCAGGTGAAAGCCCCTTGAGATCAAAAGATCTCTTTTTCAAGGGTGACCTGCAGGAAAAGTTTGACTTTGATTAGTTGTTTTTTTAAAACATTTATTTAGCCACGGAAATGTGCAGAGCATTTGTATATTCAAACACATCTGGTTGCAACTTTGTAAAACCACAGTTTTCTACTGTTGGCCACTGTGTAGCTCAACTGGACAAAGGAAGACAAATAACTTCAACATCGCGTGGATAAAACGTATGATAAATACAAACAAAGCCTACAGAACCAATCGCCTAAATGGTTTGTAGGAGATATACGCAGAACAGTGTCACTGTTCAAAAAGTTAGGTTGGATAAAATTGGGCAGATTTTCAAATGTTGGACTGTCTGAACCATTTTAATTATTTAGGACCTGATCATTGACCTTGTTCTTGATCAGCAGAAGGCTTTTTTTACATTTGGTTTTCTTTGGCAGAGAAGGTCGTGTTCATGTCGCTCGCTGGGACTCTGGCCCAAAATGTTTGGTGTAATTTGACAAGCCCTTCTGTGTTGGCAGAGCACATCTGAACAACCAAACTAAAGTCTTCAGATGTCCTTTCGAACAGGACTTGGATAGCCGTCAAAATGTAGTGACAAGCGTCCAGCGGCTCCTTATAGATTATTGTCTCCTGCGATAGTCTACAATTTTCAGGAAGACTTGACTTTGCAGCTGCCCTCTTTGTAGTTGGGAACCTTGTGATTATAACTGATGCATTCACTCCCAATGTGTGCCAACATGACATTGTATAATTATTCTATAATAAGTCTCTACTCCCTATGGTTCAGCCCAGAGCAGCTATAAAAACAGAAATATCTTGAAAATGCTGCCCACTGGCTGTGTTATCCCATCGGAGGTAGCTTTTAATCTGAGTGCTTTCAAGTTTCAGAATAAAATTCTTCTGTCTGCGTTCCAAAAATGTGTAGACTGACACACCTCTCTGCAGATTTACAGTCGCTTCAGGAGTTTTAAAATAAAAGTTCCCTCCAATGCACCACAGACACATTTTCTGTCTTACTGTCTGTACATTTATTTAGATTTGTGATGCTTAAAACCACGATGCTCTCCAGGAAACATGTAACTAAATGCACAGAAGCATCTCCTCATAATACTTAGAACAACTAATTGATGACAATTTTCCTTCCATTTCACCACATGGTAGTTAACAGCCCTAGGATGTGCACATGGAAATTCATGCCCTTGAAGTTACCTAACCTTAATGACCAGCATGCGTTTAAACCCCTGTCACTAGCTATATGATGGTTCCCTTCATCAATATGCCAGACCAGCTGCAGAGAGAACAAAGTTTCAACACAGCCTACTGATGTTAAATGTTCTCTACCAGATCTAAAGTAGATGCAACCTCAAGAGCTGCTCGTTACTATGAATTATAAAGCTAAAAGGCTTGGGGGTGGAGAGGGATGCATACTAGACACTGCAGACCGCATAACCACCGAGTGGAATGTATGTTTGTCTGGGCATGCTTATTATAAGTGCATGTGGTACCCAGACAGCCTCACCTAGTAGGGGTTTGCTAAAATGTGGGAAGGTGTGCTTTCAATTTCAAATGCACCACCTTATTTTATATTGAGACATATCTTGCTGTTTCACACATTCACTTGGTGCACAGAAGAGAAATGAACACCAATAAATCATAATGCAGATTTACATTAGGCATACTTTCATGATCACACAATTAGAAATGCATTTTACAATACAGGTCTCATTCTAACCCAGTATGTAGTTTATACTGTTTTTGACGTCCTAATCTTGTAAACGCTTACAGTGTAAGTATTTGCAAATCAACCAAAGTAGATTTAAAGCTATATCTGATGATGCATGAAGAAAAGTCAGAAAAAGTTATTGCAATTCAACCTTAGCCATGAATATGTGTATTTAATTTCATGGCAATAAATAGTTGTTAAGATATTTCACAAAAACTAAAATGTTAACCTTGCGGTGGCAAATAGGGAGCGTCCGAAAGTCCCCAAGTTAGGTGTTATTCATCATCTGAGGATACTGATTACCCATTTCAAATGTTATGCCTATCTTCGTACAGTGTGCAACAGTTGTTAAGATAATTGAGCCAGGACAAAAGAGGTACTCTGCATGACCGACCAAAGCTGTCATCACTCAAGCTTTGCCCCTAGTATAGCAAAAAAACAAAACAGAAATGCACAATGATTGAGAGAAACTGCACTGGGTTACGGTGTTATGAACACTTAAAGAGAAAACAAACGCTGCACACAGAAGCTTAAACCATAAACCGAGTGTTGGGAATAAATAAACGTTAACTAAATGTAAGTCATAGAATAATATATATGACAATTGACAAGAACAAAATTGCATGGTAAAAGGCAATTTCTTGAAATTAGTACAGAGTTACATTTACAGAAGTAGAGATCAGATATCACAGCAATCATCCTCCTAGTGTACCAGAGGATTGACAAAGATGAAGAGAGGCTGTCCTATTTTCATGCTTCTTGTCAAGTGTGTGTGATGAATGCCTTTCCTTTCAGCAGTTAACTGAGTGTTATGGAGAGTTAAGTGGAGGGGTCTGTGATAATCTAAACATGCCCCATGCATCTCGTATTTTACAGTCCAAAGTCTCCTTGAGCCCTGTCTCCAGCCGTCAGCAGTAAAAACGGATAGTTAGGAGGGACCGGCTGACACTGGATGTGCAGGCTCACTAACACAGCTACGCAAAATCCATCGCTTAGCCATGTTGCCATTGGTTGGGGGAATTTTGGATGTCAAATAACCCAATTTAGACCGACTTTGGGTCTCAAAGCAAGAAAAATGATGAGAGAAAAGAGAAAACAAAGCAGAACACTTGGCAGGTGACATAATTCACTGAAGATGCTTGAACTCGTGAACCATTGGGATTTGCTGTTTTTATAGGCCATGAATGTTCCTCATTAGTTTTGTTTGTTGCGGTCAAGCATAAATCTCTGTGTCATCTTTGATCCTCTGCAAAAAAAACTTTAATGCAGAGGATTCAGTCTAATCTGACATTTGTACAATAGCAATTGTTTTGAATGTGACTATTCTCACAAACATTGAGAACATTTTTGTGTGCAATTGAAGTTAAATCTTTAAAGAGTGACAGGGTCTGGGAATTAGGCGAAATTGGAAGTAAATCTAAATATCTGGTAAATCATCAAATGCACCACATTTAGCATTCCTTAAAGCTGCATTCATCTGGATGTCTTGATTTAAATATGACTAGTTTAAATAATAAACAACTATAAGCTTTTCTTTGGTCTCTTAGTTTTCTTTTGGTTGTCGTGATGACCTACAAATTGATTCGATTGATGAAGCTCCCAGGTCTTTAGCCATTTTTATAAACACTCTATATTCTAATGACTGACAATTAATGTGACATAGTGGTGAAGTCAAACACTTAAAAAGATAGACGGTTTATTTTTCTGAAATTGGTGTAAAACAGAAGCAAAGGGGAAATTGAACCTTGGATTTACTATACATCGATTAGTGTGCATATGTGTAACCAATCCTTCTCTCCATATTGGCACATACGTGATCCCCTCCTAACTGGACTCGAAAGAGATGGGGACAAAACTCGAAGTTGTCATAATGTGCAAAAGTGCTTTGTTAAAAGGGGACCTATCATGCAAAATGCACTTTGTGATGTCTTTTATACATAAATATGTGTCCCCGGTGTGTCAGGGAACTCACGCAGCGTCAGAAAATAAAACCCTCTCTCTTTTCCTCCGTACCCAAATCTTTTAAAAACGGGGGTACAACGAGCGGATACAGATTTGCTGCCGATCTGACGTGTCCATCCAATCTGACATCAAATCGGCAGCGGACCCACAGAAAGTTGCTATCAGAAACAATGCCTGACGTGTTTTGGACGTAATCCCGTCTTTGTTTACATTAGCAAGCCTCGCTAACACTCAGAGCTAACCTGTACCGTAGAGCACATGTGTTTAAAAAGCAGAAAATATTAAAAAAGGAACTCACCTTGTGATAAACCCGCAAGAGAAAATGCATTTGAGGTCCATACTGTTTCAGAAATAATCTTTGATGTGGTTTGGAACAGGATGGCGTTTT